ACTTCAGTGTTCTGGCTTAATTTAATTACACTGAAACTTTTCATTTCTGTAACAGGCTTTAAGCTTTAATTTTCTTAGTTTTTGTCAGATATGTGGGCAACAATATAATCGCACAGAACAAAGCTACAAATGCATGAATTACGAAGGGTTGACCTTTCCCTCTCGTTGCGTCTTGCTTTGAAAATCTGCTCACTCCACACCACAGATTATATGCAGGAGTCATCGTTTTGTGAAGCACATAATCTATTTAGCCGGCTTTCAAGTAGTCAAGTCACATCGTGCGACAACGCTTGGAAGCCATTACAGCCCATTCATGGGCTATCGTGCCCAGCATGCTAACGAGCCCAAGCCCTTCACCTCAGCTGGGGAGCCGGGATGGGAACACCCAAGGTGGAGGCGAGACACCGGCGCAGGGACCAGTGCTGTGCATGCCGTGCCTTTAAGAATAATGCCATCCTGGGCTATCATCAGCATACATCCGAAAAAAGACCTGAATAAAACGCAGTGATGCTTAGGATTTGATTCAAAATATCTGGAGGAGGAAAAAGATGAACAACAGCCGGTAAGTTGTGAGGCCGGATGCTGGGCGCCTGGGCGCACGTTACACCTTTCTCTACACTTTTCTGCATGTTTGAAAATTTCCCCAATTTAAAGACAAAGCATCTTGAATCCTTAAGTAGAGCTGAACTAACCCTCACTCCTATTTCATGAAACTGGAGCCACTAGAGCAGCTCCAAGCAGAAGACAATGTTGATTTGGCAAGGGAGCTCACAGATGAGCCTCCAAGGTCCTCCTCAGAGGAAAACCGGCCCCTCCCCACCCCCCACTGTGCCAGGATCAAGCAACCCAAGCCAAGCCCAGGAGCGCTGGGCAGCTTCCCCGTGAACCTCACCCTTCACCTCCCTTGGCTCAAGTGACCTGCACACGTGTGCTACTGCTCCCGCCTCCTTCTCTGCACCACCCCTGGAAGCCAAGTGCTGGATTAGAACATCCGTACATTTTCCATTTATTTAACGATCAGGCATCAAGGATGTGCCTGGAGCCAGGCGCTGCTGGAAGGGGCAGCATCAGAGGAACAAACAAGAGGAACAGGCCCCACTGGGAAAGCTCTCATTCCAGGGAGGGACCACAGACAACGGCGAGCACAAGGAAAGAGACCACATCACTTCTCGAAGTCACTTCTCCCGAGGGTAGTGCCTGGCGGGGAGGGGGTGGGGGCGGTGTGGGCAGGCATCATGCAATCCCTGAGGGCCCAGGGGGAACCAGCAGGTTGGACTCTCTGTGAGCACAGGGTGGCAATGACAGCAGTCACTGTGTCCTACTGCAGCCTGGTTCCACCCATGCTGGGGCCAAACAACTCCTTTTATCCCAAAAGACACAGCCCCTGTGGTAGCCCAATAAATGCAGCTGAGTGCATCCTGACTTTCCATGTCTTCAAAGTGAGAGAAAGCAGAAAAGCAGAGCTGAAAACAGCCAGGCCAAAGCCAGCAGGAACGGAGAGAGGAATGGCGTCAGTATTGGGATTCATGGCTAGCCTCGTGCTAACCGGCTCTTTCCACTGGCTCTGAAGGGAGACTCTCAGAGCCAGGAAATGTAGTTGCGATCAATGTAGACAGAAAAAGATATTTACAGCAAAACCACTAGAGCATTTCTTGTGGTGAGTGCAGAAACACACATACACACACACACACACACGGACAAGTCACTTGGGAACCTCACCTGTACCCTGGACCCCCAGGGAGGAACCCAGAGGACCCACGTGGTGACAAGTCCTGACCAGAACCTCAACAGATGCTGGCTAAGGGCTGGCACACCCAGTGGCATGTGCAGCGAAACTCAGCCGAATCTACTTCTAAAGATGTGGACACACAGAGAGTTGGCGTGACAGATGCCACTGGGACAGGGGAACAGGACAAAGGGTGACATTTCTTATAAATTAACAAGCAACAGAACAAAGCATGAGAAGCAGCCATCATATCTCACCAGAAAACAGTTTGGCTTTAAATATTTATACCCGGGTGACGCAGGACATTTTGCAAAAATAATGACATCTCTGTGAGAACAGACAGGGCACAGGACCTCATCTGATGAGTCTTTTTTGACGGGGAGGTAAGAGCAGACGACGGCTCTGGAGGAGCAGAGAACTTCTTCTAAAGAAAAAAAAATAAGGCTGTCTCGTCCACCCTTGCCCAAAAAGGCACTTCACAGTCAAAGCCTGGAGCGGGGCCATGTTCACGCTGGCCGATGCACCGTGCAACACTTCTAGGCAATCACTGAGTGTGCACGGGCCCATCTGGCCTGTCCATCAGGGCTCTGACAACGCCGACTGACTGTCAATTCTGCAGTGGCTTCTAAGGCATGCGCTTCCAACTAACTCAGGCTTATTTTGCCCAGGATAATTTAGGATTCATCTATTTCATACAATCTCACTTATTATGTTGGGGACAACTCGCTATTAGCACCAAGCAGCTTAAAGGTTTCAACACATCACAGTACCCAATGACTCCTTATGGAACACAGCTAAGTATATTTATTGACATTCATGCTGTATATTTCCAAAGCACTACAAGACCGAAGTGAACACAGAAATGGGGCATAGTAAAAGAGGAAGCACCCACGCTGACATAATCGCCAACAAAAAAAAGTGCAAACTTTCCATCAGTTTAAAAAAGTTTCCGGGGCCGGCGCTGTGGCTCACTAGGCTAATCCTCCACTTGCGGTGTTGGCACCCCATATGGGCGCCAGGTTCTAGTCCTGGTTGGGGCGCCGGATTCTGTCCCAGTTGCTCCTCTTCCAGTCTAGCTCTCTGCTGTGGCTGAAGGCAGTGGAGGATGGCCCAAGTGCTTGGGCCCTGCACCCCATGGAAGACCAGGAGGAAGCACCTGGCTCCTGGCTTTGGATCAGTGCAGCGCCACCTGTAGTGGCCATTTGGGGGGTGAACCAACGGAAGGAAGACCTTTCTCTCTGTCTCTCTCTCACTCTCTATAACTCTACCTGTCAAAAAAAAAGTTTCCACAACAAAAAAGTTTTCAATCAAATGTAATTTTGAAACATTCCCTTTTAATATTTTTCAAATGAACCTTTTATGTCTTAGATTCTTATTAAAGGGAATGAAATGACATGCAGAACCAAGCTGTCGCAAAGGAATACTGAACAACTCATATATGTAAATATGTCCCCCAAAAAGTCTTCAGTGTAAAACCATTCAATAAAAGTGATTCAGAATTCATTTAAAATTTGCGGGATGTTACTATTCATTGACAGTTGATACCCGCTGGCAGCTGAAATCAATGAGATGATGATGGTGAGGACAGTGTGAGTGCATGTGTAATATGCATGCACATGTGTGTATGTGTGTGCATGCATGTGTAAGCATGTGTGCATGAACTGGGGTGCACACATATGCATGCACATGTGTATGCGTGCCTGCATGTATGTGTGCATGTGTGTACTTGTATGTGTGAGTGTGCATTGGCGTGCACACACATGTATGTATGTGTGTATGTGTGCCTGCATATGTATGCACGTGTGTGCATGTAAGTGTGCATGCATTGGTGTGCAAACACATATGCATGCACGTTTGTGTACATGCATGTGTGTGCATGTATGTGTGCATACATTGGTGTGCACACATATATGCATGCACACGTATTTGTGTGTACCTGCATGCTTGTGTACATGTGTGTGCGATTATGTGTGAGTGTGTGTGTGCGTGCATTGGTGTGCACACACACATAAGCGTGCACATGTGACATGGCACTGGATGACTGGGACACCTGTAACCAGGTAGGAAACTGCAGCAACTTCACTTCCCCTACCATGAAGCTCAGTGGACACGAGCCCCGAAACACCCCCATGCTTCGGAGGAGACCTGGGGAGTGGGCAACGGAAGGCGGGCCCTCCAGAGAAAGCCCAGGCCAGGGACAGCCAGGAGCAATGGCTCCGGGGAGCTTCAGCTGACGTCTCTGGTGGAGGTGAGAAACCGACTTCTGTCGGGAGGATTCTACTGGGGGAGCTACAGGAGGCCGCCCCCTTCCTGCCTTCAGTCCTCTCTCGGGAGCAGCCTCTCCACCCAATGTACACCCCGACATGTTCTCCAGCACGAGCCTCAGCAACAAGTGGGCAATGCAGCAGTGCTTTCCGTAAAATGAAACCAAGAGGTAAGGACTGAGATCAGTGGGCAAATACAGAGCCCAGCAGCCCTTGGGGCTCAGCCAGACACTGGGTGCAGCCAGGAACTCACTGAGACCAACTTCTGCACCCTTGAGACAGCCCAGCAGACACACAACCCACGACGAGGACAAAGCAGATGAATGGCCGGGCCAAGGCAGTGTCTGGCCACAAATGGAACAGAATAAATCAGTGCCTCTCCGCTGGGGAGCCACGCAGCAGGCCTCACGTTTGCCTCAAATAAATGAGGGAGGCTGCGGAATTATGCAAAGGTTTTAAGCTTTCAATAAAACTGCTTGACAAGTGTAAAATATTAATTCAATCTGTCCAAATAGAAAGAAAATGATTAATAAAAAGGGTGGGGAGATAGCATGGGGAAATATAAGGTGTTCCACAGCATACAGGAGTTGAAGAATCATTAAAATTCTTATTATTTTGAGCAGGCTTTGATGAAAGCCTGTCAAAGAATGTGAAGTCAGAATAAGGCAGAACCATTATTTCTAAATTTAAAGAAAACTTGAATTCTTCCCTTGCAATCATCTCCTGGAAGCAGGGGACTGCCTCCCCAGGACAGAAGCCCACGATTCGCAGGGGACAATGGACACTGATTACCCCTGGGGTTGGCGCACCTGAATTACAGACAGCGCACTCTCACCTCCACTTTCCAGTGATCTATTACCTACACTGTATGTCAATTACCGCTCTCTCTGGGAAGGGCTAAATCTTCCTGTCTTGCAATGAAACTGTTTTAATTAGTTGCAACCTCCACACCTTCTGGCCAGGAGGGGAGAAGCCTGCAGACGACGCGGACGACGTGCGGCCGCACTCACCGTGCTGGGTGAAGAGGTCGGTGTGCACGATCTCGATCAGGCAGCAGAGCTTCCGGAAGGTCAGCAGGCCCACGGGGACGTTCAGGATGAATTCCGTGAACATTTTGCTGCAGACAACACGAGAGGAGTATTTCAGGGTGTGCGGCACAAGGCTCCCAGGCTGCTACGAGACAAGGCCATTAAACGGCCACCAGCAGGTTGGACAAGTCCCACAATACAGGCCACGGATGTCAGCCCCAAAAAATTAATAAATGATGTTTCAAAACGCTGCTTTTCACTTCCCAGCCACAGATGGCTCTAATCCAAAAGAGAGATCACAGCAAGTGCTGGGGAGGACGCAAGCAAACAGGAACAATGCAGCTGGGAACAGAAGCTGGGGTGGCCTCCTGGAGAAACAACTGGGCACTTCCCTTCCTCGAAACGTTCACCACGGATACCGTGTCCCCCAGCAGTTCACTCCCAGTTATACCAAAGAAGCATGAAAACACACATCCACACGGAAACCTGGACACGAACCCACGCGGCATCACTCAGTATTCAAATGGCAGAAATAATCCAAATAGCCACCAAATGGTGAACGGCTAATAAATAAAATGGAGTTTATCCATAGAGGTTATTCACAAAAGGAAGGGAGCGTGGACACGCCTACCTCTGTGACACGCAAACGCAAGGTAAAGCTACAGAGAAGGAAATCAGATCAGCAGTGAGGCAGGAACGGAAAGGACTAGGAGGGGGCACACGGGTCTTAGCGGGGAATTAACAAGGTCGTAACACTGGACTCCGTGGTGACGGCTGCACATCTCTGCCAACACACTAGAAAGCACTGCACTGAACACTCTAAAGCCAGCGACTTTACACCACGTAAATAATAAACCAATACAGCTGTCGTAGAAAGTTTACTCTTACAGATGGAAAACAGACTGGTGAGAGAATATTCGATGAGAGGCTCTGGTTAGTCATTAAAGAAATGCAAATTAAGATGTTGAAAAGCTGTTCAATCAATCACATCAACAAAATTCTACAAAGGGTAATTCTGGGGCCAGCGCTGTCCCCTGGGAGGCCAACATCCCCTCGTGGAGGGCAGCTGGAGTCCAGGCTGCTCTACCTCCCACCCGCTCCCTGCTAAGGCAGCTGGGAAACAGAAAATGAGGATGGCTTGGTTCCTGACCTCCTGCAGTCGTGTGGGATGCCTGGATGGAGCTCCTGCCCCTGGCTTCAGGCTGGTCAAACCCCAACTACTGTGTCCAACTGGGAAGTCAACCAGCATATAGAAGATTTCTCTCCCTCCCTCTCTCTCTCTCTCTCTTTCTGTGTATGTGTCTGTTAACCCAACTTTTAAATAAGTCTTTTAAAAAATGACACTTCTAAGGACCGCACTGTGGTGTAGCAGGTAAAGCCGCTGTCTGTGGTGCCAGCATCCCATATGGGTGCTTGTTGGAGTCCCGGCTGCTCCATTTCTAATCCAGCTCTCTGCCGTGGCCTGGGAAAGCTGTAGAAGACGGGCAAGTCCTTGAGCCCCTGCACCTGCATGGGAGACCTGGAGGAAGCTCCTGGTTCCTGGCTTCGGATCGGCACAGCTCCAGCCGCTGCAGTCATCTGAGGAGTGAACCAGCGGATGGAAGATCTCTCTCTCTCTCTCTCTCTCTCTCTCTCTCTCTCTTTCTCTGCTTCTGCCTCTCTGTAACTCTGCCTTTCAAATAAATAAATAAAATCTTTTTAAAAAATTGACAATTCTCACTATTGGGAAAACAGTCATCAGGAGGCTCTGGTGCAATGCTGGTGGAACCGTCCGGAGGGCAACTGATGGTGTCTATCAGAAATTTTTAAGAAAATGCAAGACCAAGTAATCCCACTTCTCCGTGTATCCAAAAAGTATAAAATAAGGACACATGGGACAATACATTTACAGAGGATTTTATCCTAGCATCCTAGATAATACAAAACTGCACACAACGTCACATGCATCGGGCAGTATGAGGTTAGAGGGCTCCTCTTCGTCACCAGAAGCCAAGGTTCGCCTGGAATTACTGCCACTCACCAGCAGAGTGGTTACGGACAAGTGCGACCAGCCTAATGACAGACGCTATGTCAGCCCACGGGTGTAAAGATCCATGGAGTAAACACGGGAAGTGCTTCCTCCAAAGCCCGTTTCCTATGGAGAAAGCACACAGTGGATGGCAGGTCTGCGGCTGCAGTGTGAACCAACGATGTGCCGGCATGGAATGGAACACTGCAAAGTTCCTGAAAACGAGGACGCGGAAGCCGACTTCGTGACCTGGCAAACAAGATGCCTTAGGCACAGAACTGGTCACAAAGAGAGAACGCTGATGATTACAGGTGTGTGTGTGTGGGTGTGTGGGTGTGTGGGTGTGTATGTGTGTGTGTACATATGTGTGGAAGGGACCCAGAACTTTGACTACTTTTGGGAAGAGGACTGAAGTCTGAGTTACCCTCTTCTACGATCTTCTGTTTTCATAAAACATGAATTTTGTAAAAAAGGGGAAAAGCTCACATATGATCCTCATCATGAATTTATAAATCAGTACAGAAAACATTGGAGAGAGCCACCCACGGACACAGGGCAGGCAACAGAAGCCTGGAGCGGCCCTGCAGAAGGAGGTATCTGTGGGGCTCCCAGCACGAGCCTCAGGCACCAATTATGGGCACACAAGAGGCTGCTGGGATGAGCCAGGGACCTGTGAGTACAAGGCAGGATGGGTGCAGAGCGTGCCCACGGCCCTGCGAGCCACAGCCCCCATCTCGTCTTCCCGGCCCAGAGAGTGCCCACGGCCCTGCCAATCACAGTCCCCACCTCCTTTCCCGGCCCCAAGCGTGGCCACGACCTTGGTTGGCCACAGTCCCCCCACCTCCTCTTCCTGGTCCTGAGCGTGCCCACGGCCCTGGCCAGCCGCAGTCCCCCACCTCCTCTTCGCTTCCGTAGCCCTGAGAATTGCAACACAGGCGTACAGTGAAGAGAGCTGGGGATTCCTCACCGCCCAACCCTACAGTTACCAATTCAGAAGCTCTGCGGAGAGGCAGACCTTTCACCCAGCAGCTACGACGCCACCTGGAGGCCCACATCCCACATTGGAGAGCCCTGGTTCCAGCCCTTGTCCTGGCACAACCCCAGCTTCCTGCTAATGCATACCCTAGGAGGCAGCAGCAATGGCTCAGGAAGTTGGGGTCCTACCACCCACAAGGGACACTGGACTAAGTCACTGGTTCTTGGCTGGGACCCTACTTTAGCCTCTAATACTGTGGGCATTCAGGGAATGGAACACGGGATGGGAGTTTGCTCGCTCGTTCGCTCGCTGTCTGCCTCTCAAATCAATAAAACAAAAATTAAAGAAGGGGGTGTGGGGAAGGGCTGGGTACTTTTTTTTTTTTTTTAAGATTGTATTTATTTCCTTGAAAAGCAGAGTTACAGTGAGACAGAGCTAGGGAGATCGATATTCCATCTGCTGGTTCACTCCCTAAATGGATGAATTGGACAAGGCTGGGCCAGCCAAAGGCAGGAGCCAGGAGTTTCTTCTGAGTCTCCCATGCGGGTGCAGGGGCCTAAGCATTTGGGCCATCTTCTACTATTTTCCCCGGCACATTAGCAGGGAGCTGGATCGGAATCAGAGCAAACAGGACTTGAACCAGTGCCCCCATGGATGCTGGTGCTGCAGGCAGCTGCTTAACCTACTGCACCACAGCGCCAACTCCAGGACTGGGCATTTTCTAACAAGTTCCCAAGGGCTGAAGCTACAGACATTTTTCAGAGCACTTGGTAACAAACAAACGTCAACGAGACGGCCCCACAAAGACCAAGTGGACAAACTCACTGCCCATGGCCCATTGCTTCCTCCTTTCCTTGTTGAAGGCCTGCGAAGTGCTAACAGCATTGCTAGGGCCCCAGGAGCAGACAATAAACGCTGGCCTGCGGGACACTAAGTCCTCAGGCACATCAGAGCCCAGTAACTGATGAGGGACGTGGCTCCCAGGAGAGGCAGCCCTGCAGTTCCAGGGCAAGAGTGACCTGGGCCGGCCGTGAAGCACGGGGTGAGGCGGTCACTCTATACTCAGCTTGACTCATGGGCAGCAAGTGACACTCATGGATCGCTAGGGGAGCTGCTCCCTGGGCTATGCAAACAGTGCCACCACCTGCAGCCAGCACCTCGTGTCGGATCAGAATCAAAACACACAGCGGATGCGGCTGAGCTGGCGCCGGACAGCTTTGCACGCCATCTTCCCACAGCAGTGCGTACAGAGTACAGAGACGGCCACAGACGGAAGCTAACTGCCTGGGATGCTGGAAGGAGCAGTCCCCAGCCCAGATCCTCTCAGTGCCTAGCAACCAGCCTCCTCATGGCTGGCCTGGTTTGGTTTTGTAATTATTTCCTTATACAACAACGTCAGGTTCTTCCTTCTGAGGGTCACAGCCCCTCACTGGGGATTTCACAGAGAACTCTCTCCTGCTGCAGAAGCAGTAGGCGGCACCCAATGAACATGCAAACATCTACACTAAGATGTTGGGGAGCTGAAAACCAAAGCAAAGCCAGCAACACTGAATTCAGGGGCAGGCGTTTGGCCCGGGAGTTACAACACCACTTCAGACACCTGTGTCCCCTGGCGGAGGGCACCTGACTCCAGCTCCAGCTCCTGACTCCAGCTTCCTGCCAATGCAGACTCGGAGGCAGCTGTGCTGGCGTAAGGGACTGCATGCCCAACACCCACGTGGGAAGCCCAGACTGGGTTCCAGGCTATCAACTTCCGTCCCTTCGCTGCAGGCATCTGGGAGCAAACCAGCAGATAGGAGCCCTTGTTCTGTGTTTCTCTGAATCTGTTTCTCTCTCTCTCCCTCCCTCTGTCTGCTTCTCAAATAAATAATTTTTAAAAATGACTGCTTGATTAGAAAAAAGATTAAATTCAAACTCTAAAGAATGCAAAACAGCCAATTGGTATTACACACCTATGAGGCCATAAACAATGTTCGAAGGAAAATACTGTGATGGTTGACAGGTGCATTGTTGATGTACACAGCCACAGGTGCCACCAACATCACACACCGCAGAGCAAGGCAGGGCATGGCCGTGTGCAGACATGGGACAGAGCCCCAGGACCCCATCAGCTAAGCACACGGAGAGGAAGACGTGTCTCCCTTGGGTATACAATTACCTGAGCTCTTTGGGATCAAACACCAATTTCACATCATTGACGATCGTCGGCAAGTATTTCAATGCTGCCCCCTGCAAACCAAGAACAGAGAAGAAGGCTGAGCCGGTTGTTAACGCAGACTTGTAACTCCTCTGCAGAACCACAGGAAGTCCGAGACGAGGGCGGGCACTTCAGATGGAGGGCTGAGCAAGAACACAATCCCTGATGCACAGAGCGGTCGCGTCTCGCATGGTGGACACGCGAGAGCACAGATGGGGCAGCCTCTTGGCACAGCGGTGGAAGAACCACCCGGGACGCCGGCATCCACGCTCCCAGTGCTCTGCCTATCCCAGCTTCCTGACAACGCAGGGCCCGGGAGGCAGCGGTGACGGCTCAAGCAGCCGAGCGTCTGCCCCGGACCGAGTGCCTGGCTCCCGCTTCAGCCTGGCCCAACCCGGGCTTTGCGGGCCATCTGGAGAGTGAGCCGCCAGGCAGCAGGACTCCATCCGTCTCTCTCTCCACCACAGATACTTGTTAGTACTATTGGAAAGTGACATTTATCTCCTGCCGCCCAGGTGCCCACACTGCCTGCTCAGTGTGTCCACGACTTTCACGTCTACATGGAAAGCTCTGTGAAAGCAAAAGGCAGGCCTGGCCCCTCCATTAAACCCACCGTAGCTCTTCCAACCCAACGGCTGAAATGAAGGTCGCTTCCATTCCAAATATGGCTTCCTGTGTATCTGCTGCGTTTCCCCTAACAAGGAATCACTGTGGCCTTGAGGACGTTGTCATCCGGCTGCAGATTCTGCACCTTTGAGAAAACCTGCACCCTGAGAAAAAGTCACAGTGGTACGATGGCTCCCACGGGTGCCACACACCGCACTAGAACTGCATGCTTTTGGCTGATGTTTTAAAGATTTATTTATTTATTTGAAAGGCAGAGATACAGAGAGGCAGAGGCAGAGGCAGAGGCAGAGGCAGAGGCAGAGAGAGAGAGAGAGAGAGAGATCCTCCATCCGCTGGTTCACTTCTCAAATGGCCACAATGGCCGGAGCTGCACCTAACCAAAGCCAGGAGCTGCAGCTTCTTCCAGGTCTCCCACAAAGGTGCAGGGTCCCAAGGACTTGGGCCATCATCTACTGTTTTCCCTGGTCATAGCTGGGAGCCGGATCAGAAGTGGAGCAGCCGGGACTCAAACCAGCACCCATATGCGATGCTGGCACTGCAGGCGGCAGCTTTACCCGCTACGCCATAGCGCCGGCCCTGCATTTTATTGTTAATCCAAAGGCACCTCCTACAGGGAGTCAGTCCTTTGGGGAGGAATGGAAACTGCCTTTGCCCTAGTCACACAGCTAGTACTGAACCAACCTAGAATTACAGTGTGGACCAGAGGAGGCTGGGACTGGGTCCCTGTGGCTGTACCCTGTTGGGGAAAGATGCTGCATTTTAAACGCTTGCTTGTATTTGCGACTCGAAGGAATTCCGTGTACCAGAGTGGGCTCCACCTCCTCAATGAAATCGGAAACCAACGCATGTTGGGGGGTGCGTGAGGGCTCAGACCAGAACTCAAAAGGAAGCCGGATGACACCAGCACCTCTGGAACAGGCAGACCCAGACCCAAAGCAGTGTGGTCAACGGACTGACAGCCCGGACACTGTCCTGCCCAACATCACCAAGTACACCCCAGTCCACACGTGCCCACGACACAGTAGCTCTAGGTGCACCAGACTTTCAATGAAGAACTTAAAACTACGAAACTTCGAGAAGAAAATGCTATGGCTCGGGGCTAAGCAAACAGGACCACCTATGAAAGGATAAGGTAACATGAAGATCTTCGGCCCTTTGAAGGCAATGCTTAGAAAACAAACACAAGCCACACCCAGGGAGAAAGTGATTGCAAACCACACACCTGGAAAATCTGTGCATGGAGACTACACCGGGAACTCTGAACATTCAGGAACAAGAAACCCTAACCCTAACCCTAACCCTAACCCTCCCCTCCAACCCTGCCGCCAAGTAAGACACAGGCCACAGACCGGAGCAGACGCTGCTCCCAAGGAGATGTACCGTTGGCAAGTAAGCCCTTGCAAAGAGGGCAGCGCCATCGCTCACCAGGGAAAAGCAAACAAAACCCTCAAGGCGATGCCACTGACACCTCTCAGAACTGCTAAGAAACAAGACGGAAGAAGAGCCTGCCCCTGCGCTGGGCTGGCCTGGGCTGCAGTATGAGAAACTCCGGAAGAGAGCTTGGAGGTTTCTAACAGCGACGCGCACTCCAAGTACTGACCCCAGCAACCGCAGCCCTGGGCGTCTGTCGCTCCCCCTCTTCGTGGAGGAGCAACACAAAACCCTGCCTAGGCTTCATATCCGAGTCACGGCACCATTATGTCGCTCCCCCTCTTCGTGGAGGAACGACACAGGACCCTGCGCTGTTCTTTCGTCTGCTCGGCCCTCCCCGGGTTTGCTGCTGGTTCTTCCCGGGTTGGCTACTATCCCTTCCACCTCCGTGGAAGGGCAGTTCCCCCTGGCCACATTCCCCACTTCCGCAGGGGAGCGGCACACCGCCAGCCGGCTCTCTGGGGGGCTGCACAGGTGTTCCCCTTAGATGTTCCCCATAGATGTTCCCGGTGCATGCCGTCTCTCTCCTCCTTTATAGTCCTCCTCTGCCAATCCCAACTCGGCTGCCCACACGCCGAGTACGCTGCTCTCCAATCAGGAGCAAGTCCTACAGTTTATTGGTTGAACTGGAGGCAGCTGTGCGGAAGCTGTTTACTTCTCTCCCAGCGCCATATTGTGGGAGAGCAGATGCATAGAATAAGTCTTAATTCGAGTAACTTAGTCTAGTCCGGATTGCTCCCCACAGGCGTCGACTCGCGTGAAAGGAGAACTCGAACGCACGCCAGCCCTGCACGCATGCCAGCCCCGCACGCACCTGCTCCCAGCAGCCTTATCCGAAGGGCCCACGACCAGAAATGACTCAGAGTCCCTCAGGGGTGTCCCTAGAGGGAACACAACCAGTCGCCTAAAGGGAGCAAACCCTGCTACACACAACCCGACGACCTCCACGCTCCCCGAGAAATGAAACAAATGAAATCAAATGCCACCTCCTGCGTGATCCCCTGGTCCTAACACTCGGGAAAAGGCCAGCGACTGGGGTAGGGAACACAGCAGTGGCTGCCCTGAGGTGGACATGGGGGGCGGAGGAGCTGGGAGTTGACCATACACTCCCAGAGCTAAAATGTGGACAAGAAGAAAAAGTGCATTTTACCGTAGGCAAACTTTACCTTCATTTAAAACCAACTGAAATCCTATCACCTGATCTACTCCCATACCTGGAAATTGTCTGAAAGATTGGAGAGAACGGTGTCCCAGCCGCCAAGCAGAGCGTTTCAAACCACGTCAGCTGAATCCCAGTCACCTAATGCCAGAAACTGGAATACTCTCCACGTGCCTCCACGTGTGCAGGTCTCTGTGTGTGCTGCCATGGACACTTTAGTCCTGTGACATCCACAGGGGAAAGGCCTTTTATTAACCCCGTTTACAGGTGAGAAGTGGAGGCACACACACAAAAAAGGTGCAGCCATTTGCCCAGATTGGTACTGTCAGGACCTGGAGCCACTCTGTCCGCCTGCAAAGTCAGTCACGTACAACCCCAAAGCTCAACCCGCCACAGTCAGGATGACACGGACAAGGAGGCACCACCCGCCTGGGGAGGCACCCACCTGCCAGGGCTGCTGCTCTTCCAGGCCCAAACCCCTTGCTTCAGGGTCCACCAGATCAAGGGGTTCCAATCCCCTCCCTTGAGAAGCGCTGGCAAAGAGCTTTCAAGAGAAATAATTTCATTCTGATTTCAAATGTTCTGCTTCAACTACTTCAGAGTTGCTTTGAAAAACTGAAAAATATTTATCATGACGTTCAGTAATGGGCATTTGCCCAGGCTGACCGCTCAGTCTCCTCAAGTGTCTCATTGAGTCTGTGAGTGTCCAGAGGATAAGAGAGGCAGTGGCTTCCCGCGTTGTCTCCTGTGCCTGACAGCTTCACCCGCCTGCCGGGCCTTGCAAACACCACTTGCTGGGGACCGGGCAGATGGCAACAAACAGCTCAGGCCTGGCTGGCCGCCTTCCACTGGGCCCCTCCAGCCACCGGGCACTGCACAGGCCAGGACAGTGGGAGGGCGGGGCAGGTCTCCCAAGCCTTCCCCTGTGGGGCCTGCCCACACTCCTGGCACCCAGAGCCCGGTTAGCCAGAATTCTGCTTGACAGGCGTCACGTCTCACAGTGGGTGAGGTTTCGAGAGCAGTCATGGCCCACCCATCAGAGGGCAGACAGGGTGCAGGGGGGCGCCCGCCTTGCCCCTCGGGTCCAGCCCTGTTCTCCAGGTGAGCTGGGTCTCTCTCCTTCCACCCCACTTTCCCTGTGGCCTGGCCCACCATTTCACCTCTGTCCAGAGACAGGAGCAGGAAACCAGCTCAGCCATCCACCAGCCAAGCCAAAACAGCTTCTCCCCCTCTCTCTTTCCTCCCGTCACAGGGACCTCACGCCAGCCTCCCACCTCCAAAGGGTTCCACAGCCCCCTGGCCCACCCTCCTCTTCATCCTTGATGATTCCCCAAACTGTGGGCCTGCCTTCCTGCCACTTCCTGCAGCCTGACCAAGGCCACAACTGGGAGTCCATTCCTGCCACGGCCACAGGGGCCTCAGTCTGTTCTGTGCCACCTCCGCGGGACAAGGCTGCCCCTTCACTGCCATGGTACCCATGACCTAGCCCCCAGGTGACCACCTTCGCCTTCTTCCCAGCATCCCATGTGTGGCCCTATCCCTGGGATTCCTCCACTTACCCCTCGGGGACCTCACCCCTGCCAAGCTCTGACTCCTTCTAGTCACCACGTGGAGCCCACACGTTCTCCCAGGCGACACCCCACACCCTCAGTGGCCAGCCACTGGATGCTGGCAGGCTGCCCCAGGCCCTGAAAATGCGACTGTGTGGGCTGGGCACCATCTCCACACCCTCCGTCCCCCATGCTTACAGCTCAGAGCTGCACCATGGAGACCCCCAATCCCCAGGCTGCACGGCAGAGGCCGGTACATCATGCCAGGGGGGTCCTTCCTCCCCTTGGACCAGTTCTAAGCAACAGAAAGCTCCGTCTATTTTAAATCAAGCTCCTGGTCCTCCCATCTTCTCTCTTCCTGCAAACACCTGGTGCCGGCCGCTGTTAGCTCCCGCTGCTCGGCTGCCAAGGCCCTCGCTGGGTCTCCTACCAGGGCTCCCTGCATCCACACGGATAATCTCAGATCCTTGCCTCACTGGACATCAGAGGAGCCTTCCTAAGATGCAAGCCTCATGTAGAGACCTGGGTGATAACCTCGGCTCTGGGACTGCAAGGGAACCTGCTCTGTATCCTCAGAGGCCACTAGGTTCTGGCTCCACCTCCCTGGGCCACACCCACCACAGGACTCTCTCAGGCCACACGGAGTAACTTCCAGGTCGACCAGCTCGGAGGCTGTCCACGTGCCATTCCCCCAACCCAGCACCTGCCCCAAACACAGCAGCTAACCCGGTCCTAAGTCTCCAAGTCATCTTCCCCAGGACGCACAGGGGCTGGGCTCCCAGACACATTTCCACTGTGTATGAGGTGACACAGTGAGCCCATTCAGACGGCCCCATCTCTGCCCTTGCAGACACACAGTGGGCCTCTGCTGCCCACTGACCAGGAGCCCTGAGCCACAGGATTTGCCAGCCTTAGCCAATGGGGAAAACTGATGCCTCTCTCCAGTGTGGCGGGCAGGCCAGGATGCACGGAGCTCAGACTTCCAGCCAGCTGCCCTCCACAGCCCTGTGCCACTCACTGTGTGTTGCTAAGGATCACAGCCAGCTTTGCCTGCCTCCTCCCCTGGCGCTGGGTCGGGGATTCCCAGCATCTGGGATTCTGCTCATGCTGACAGCAAAAGGCTGCTGCTTTCTCTGCAGAGTGGACGATTTCAGGAAATGTGAGTCTCTTTCAAGTGGAAGGAGCCAGGCCTTCAAGGGCTAGGGGCCTGCCAAGCAGGAGAGCCCAGCAGAGAAAGCGGAGGCAGCGGAGCTGTGCAGACATAGTGCTGGGCAGAATCTCATCTGCAGAAAGACGCTTCCAGAAATAAAAACCAGGGAGTGCACCGTGGAGAAATGTGGCCGGCACAATGCACAGGAGGTGGTGCCGGATGGGGGCAGGGCTCTGGGCCCACACTGGGTGCAAAGTTTGCCTCCACCACGTGCTGTGTGACACCAAGAGGGAGGTACTTCCAGCCAGTGCTCCCCAAGGACAGAACAATGGGGATTAACTGGACCATCTCAACGGCTGCTGGGAACATGAGGTGAAAAACTGCACACAGGACATCGGCTCCAGACGTCAATGTGGATCTGGAGCTGATGGCCGCTGCTGCCACCAGTGGTGGTGGCAGGACAGCACAGGACACTTGCAAACATTAACCAAGAAAACCCGGCTGAGCACACCTCTCACCCTGCTTTTCCTTCACTTAGGAAGTGGCCCACGTGGTGGCAAATACCGAGTGACATCGGCCACCAATCGCAGAAGTCATGGAGAAGTAAACTGAGCCCCATCAAGGTTTCTGTTTTCCACTTTTGCTAGATTTTTTTTAACCTTTAATCAGTCAGTCCTGTATTTCAGCAAGGGCTGGCTCAGCATGCATCTGGCTCTACTGGGTTGTGGGTGGGGAACCAGGAGGCCAACACGTCTGCTTGGCTGGGGCCCTGTGGCATGCTGGGATGGCATCCCGTCAGTCAACTCACTGGCAATGTGGGGTGGGAGATGAGCCCTGGGGGACGTCCCCAAGAGACAGAGCTGAGTGGGGATGGGCTCCTCCCACCCCCGGGGCTAGGGGCCAGCGCCCACACTCTGTGCACAAACACACCTCTCCACCTGGCCCACACAAGAACAGAAACCGTGACACATTCACTGGTTTTAGCTATGTTTTTTTCACCTACTGTTCTTTAAGTCATAAGTGAACTTTGTCAAGTGAATGCTTACCTTTTTTTTTAAGTTTTTTTTAAATTTGACAGGTAGAGTTATAGGCAGTGAGAGAGAGACACAGAGAGAAAGGTCTTCCCTCCGTTGGTTCACCCCAAAATGGCTATCACGGCTGGCGCTGCGTCGATCCGAAGCCAGGAGCCAGGTGCCTCCTCCTGTTCTCTCATGCAGGTGCAGGGCCCAAGCACTTGGGCCATCCTCCACTGCCCAGAGAACTAGACTAGAAGAGCAGCAACCAGGACTAGAACCCGGTGCCCATATGGGATGCCGGCGCCGCAGGTGGAGGATTAACCAAGTGAGCCACCGTGCCGGCCCCTGAACACTTACTTTTTAAGCAGGTTGTTCTTTAGGAAGCCTAGCTAAATACGCTCGATGGCAGTGTAAGTGCTGGCTTCTGCTTTTCTTTCAACTTGGTAAAGCTTCCCTCTGTCCACTGGAGGCTGGGCAGGGCCAATTCTAAATGGACTTGGGTGTCCGGACAACCAACACATAGGCACTGACCCACTGACATGCCGAGAACACACACATGGACACGTGAACGCCTTAGGCATTAGGCAAAAACTGACATTACCATCGACACAACAGGGCCCTGACCACTGAGTGTGGAACGGAAGCCACTGACCACTGAGTGTGGAACGGAAGCCACGCACCACGGGACGACACCGCAGCAACACCGGAGGGAACCAGCCAGCGGTGAAGCTGCCTCCATGCACACCAAAGGAAGAGCCGGTTCCTGAGCGGCCCTCTTACAGACGGGCTCGACTCTGAACTGCCAGGCGACCGAGAACTCGGGGTGTTTAGCAATCACCATCTTAAGGGAGGAAAAGTGAGGTCAAACCTGACTCACATGAACAAGAGACACGGAATGAAACCAAGTTTTAGCGGGGAAGAAAGAAAATGCATAAAAGAACTAAGAAAGAGCAGAAAATGTTCAAATACTTCAGGTTTTAAAAAACTAAATAAATTTACTTGTATTCTCTAGGCCAACTTCACTGTCATACATCTTGTGAGAATGCCAACTTAATCTAAACTGTAGAACAAAACCAAAAACTGCACTTTCTGTCTAATATCGGTTTAATGCCATAAGTGTCTCTCTGGCTAAAAATATTACTACTGATGATGATTAATCGACACTATTTTAGGGTAAAGTTCAGGCTACATTATTCAGCATAATTATTTTAATTAAACCCATTAGCATATCTTTATATAAGATTAGGAGAGCTATCAGTGATACAAAATAAGTTTTTCTTGAATAATGTATGAAGCAATTATTAATTTACATATTTCTCCAGAAAACGCATCTTAAAGCGGTTGCATTTGGAGGGTCTGAGCTCACACACATGTGGTCCCCAGATTTTCCTCTCAGACCTCAGGGTTCTGTGTCTGGAGATGTGAGGCAGAGCCCACCAGCCCCAGAAGGAGCAGGCGGTCCCGAGAGAGGCAGGTGGACCAAGACCAGCGCCGCCCACAGGGCCCCGGGTCCACCAGGCAGAGGCCTGCACGGGGACTGGACAGAGAGGGACAGATGCTGGACAGGGCGGCCTCCTGTATGTCAGAACAGAAACACAGGACCCAGGGGCGACAGCAGTGCCCGTGCCACAGACGTCCAGAGAGGAAGAACCATGGCGACATGGCTGCTGCCGTGCCGTGGCTGCCCACGTCTGCAGCTGAATCTGAAAGCCGCTCTGCCCCGGTCCTCCAGCGCCCTGCAGCAGAGTCTGGCCATTAAACAGCCCCGCCCGCCCCAGCTCTTGCACCAGCATCCCGGGCCATTCAGTCCCCAATGTCAACCCAGCTGCCGGAGCACACTGCTCCTAGGAGTACCGCCTGTCAATCGGGCACAAAGCCCAACCCAGAAACGTAAGGGAGAAAGCACAGACTCCCTAAGATTCTCCCACGAGTTGTTCAAGCTCCCACATTGAAAGTCAAACAGTCGGGGCCGGCGCCGTGGCTCACTTGGTTAATCCTCCACCTGCAGCACAGGCATCCCATGTGGGCGCCGAGTTCTAGTCCCGGTTGCTCCTCTTCCAGTCCAGCTCTCTGCTGTGGCCCGGGAGGGTAGTGGAGGATGGCCCAAGTGCTTGGGTCCCTGCACCCACGTGGGAGACCAGGAGGAAGCACCTGGCTCCTGGCTTTGCATTGGCGCAGCGCTGGCCATTTGGGGGGTGAACCAATGGAAGGAAGACCTTTCTCTCTGTCTCTCTCTCACTGTCTAGCTCTATCTGTCAAATTAAAAAAAAAAAAAGTCAAACAGGCCTACAGTGAGGAACAGCAACAATGGGAAAAGGGTTAGGGCTGGGTTAAACCACCCCTTGCCACATCATCATCCCACATGCGAGTGCTGGTTCTAGTCCCGGGTGCTCTGCTTCCAATCCAGCTCCTGCTAATGCACCTGGGAAGGCACGGGAAGGCGGCTCAAGTGCTTGTGTCCCATCCACCCCCATGGAGGAGCCAGATGGAGTTCCAGGCTCCTCCCTCAGCCTGGCCCAGCCCTGGCGGTCGCATCCATGAAAAGACTAGGGCCAGCACTGTGGTGCAGCGGGTTACCACCCCGGCCTGAAGGGCCAGCATCCCACATGGGCGCCGGTTCTAGTCCCGGCTGCTCCTCTTCCGATCCAGCTCTCTGCTGTGGCCTGGGAAAGCAGTAGAAGATGGCCCAGGTCCTTGGGCCCCTGCACCCACGTGGGAGACCTGGAAGAAGCTCCTGGCTCCTGGCTTCAGATCGGAGCACCCCGGCCATTGCGGCCATCTGGGGAGTGAGCCAGCAGATGGAAGACCTCTCTGTCTCTACCTCTCTCTGTAACTCTGCCTGTCAAATAAATAAAAAATAAATCTTTAAAAAAAAAAAAAAAGACCTCTTTCTCTCTCTGCCTCTCCCCCTCTGACTCTGCCACTTTCTCTTTCAAATAAATAAGCAAATCTTTAAAAGAAAATGGGTAAAGTGCTTCAGAATATTCCCAAGGCAGTCACTGTACAGGACTGCAGTAAACATCATCGATCCGGCCCACCACATGTAACACGCATCCTGGACCCTGTCCATACATGTGCATACATGTATCCTGATGCTGTCCACCACATGTGCACACGCATCCTGGACCCTGTCCATACATGTAACACACGCATCCTGGACCCTGTCCACCACATGTGCACACACGCATCCTGGATCCTGTCCACCACATGTGCACACACACATCCTGGACCCTGTCCATCACATGTGCACACACGCATCATGGATCCTGTCCACCACATGTGCACACACACATCCTGGACCCTGTCCACCACATGTACACACACACATCCTGGACCCTGTCCACCACATGTGCACACACACATCCTGGACCCTGTCCACCACATGTGCACACACACATCCTGGACCCTGTCCACCACATGTGCACACACATCCTGGACCCTGTCCACCACATGTGCACACACGCATCCTGGACCCTGTCCACCACATGTGCACACACGCATCCTGATCCTGTCCACCACATGTGCACACACACATCCTGGACCCTGTCCACCACATGTACACACACGCATCCTGGACCCTGTCCATACATGTAACACACGCATCCTGGACCCTGTCCACCACATGTGCACACACGCATCATGGATCCTGTCCACCACATGTGCACACACATCCTGGACCCTGTCCACCACATGTACACACACACATCCTGGACCCTGTCCACCACATGTGCACACACACATCCTGGACCCTGTCCACCACATGTGCACACACGCATCCTGGATCCTGTCCACCACATGTGCACACACACATCCTGGACCCTGACCACCACATGTACACACACACATCCTGGACCCTGTCCACCACATGTGCACACACGCATCCTGGACCCTGTCCATACATGTAACACACGCATCCTGGACCCTGTCCACCACATGTGCACACACACATCCTGATCCTGTCCACCACATGTGCACACGCATCCTGGACCCTGTCCACCACATGTGCACACACACATGTACACACACATGAGCTTTCTGACCCCCATGGCTTTGTCACAGATGGGTCCCCAGAGCACAGAAATCCAGCCCTTGGGTCAACCTTGCCACACACGGGCAGGCAGATCCAAGGGGCTGGCTGACTCTGGCCATGCACAGCTGTTCTGGACACGCTGACCATTTTCTCTGTGTCCAGCTCTGGCCTAAATAAACTACCAGCTCTTCTCTCTCTAACACCTTCCCACACAGTGGTCAGAATCACTGTTCACCCCCTCTTCCCAAATGCTGGGCACACAGGCAGCCACCAGGGGATTTGGCAGAGAAAGTGAAACGGGCTGGGCAGGCAGACACTGCTGTGACTAGGGGGTCAGGCTGGGGCCACAGTGACTCAGCACAGCCCAGATGCCCTGCAGGTGACGGCTCAGTGACAGAGAGTGGAGCAACACGCACGAGGCAGGACAAGTGGGCCTGTGAGCCGGCCACAGCACCAGCAGCATTGCCGCCGCTCCTTTGAAGCCAGGGCCCTCTCCTTAGCCCTCCAGGGCTGGGGGGGGGGTCCCTTAGCCCCACAATCCTCGTGCCAGGCACAGTGTTGCTGAAGAAGGGCAGTACCGCTGTCAGGCGGGAGCTACGTGATGCGACTATTAAACGGCCCACGGTCTCTTTCATTCTATTTGAACCTTACACCAGCACAGTCATGGGGATGCGTTGCAGGCCTCTGTCACCTCAAAATGGGAGAAAATTGGTTACCCGTCTACATAGCTTCCAGGAGGCAAAGCCTGGCTCCAAATGACGGAGATTTCCAGAAAGAAAAAGCACTTGAAGTTCAGACGTCCACAGACAGGAAAATGGCCCCGTTCCAGGGCACCTGAAGGGCCTGAACCACAGTGAGACAGCGGGGAAAACAGCAGAGAGCAGCAGGCAGCACAGTCCTGTTGTAGCCACAGCCTGAGCAGTCGGGCCAGCCAGGGCTCTCCAGGAACACAGCAGGGGAAGTAGCTGCCACACAGGGTGTGAGGTGGACAGGGAAGGAAGGCCATGGAAGGGGGTGAACCTACAGCTGGCCAGTGGGTCCTGACCCTGCAGGCCCCCTTCCAGCCACCTCCTCTCCAGCCTACTCCCCAGACCCTCAGAAGCCCCATTAGAGAGGACGGTCAGGGTGTGCAGCCACCAACAGGCACTGGTCGTGGAGCAGGATAGAGGGGGCCCAACCCTCGGAGTCCTCCTGGGAGCCCGCCCATTGCCACCCTTCCCCACTGCATCCCACACCAACCCCTACAGGGAGTGGGATCCTGCCCCACCCTCAAAACATGCTCAGTCTACAGTCTGCATGTCTGTCCCCCCAAAACATGTCTTCATTGAACATCTTGTTTTGTTGATTTGAAAGGCACAGTGGTACAGAGAGAGGAAGGGAGAGGCAAATAGAGAGGAGGAGAGAGGAAGCCATCTGTGATCCAACTGGGGCTGGGCCAGGCCAAGGCCAGGAACCTGGAACTGTACCCCGGTCTCCCATGTGAGTTGCAGGAGCCCACGCACTTGGGCCATCCTCCACTGTCTTCCCAGGCAGACCGCAGGGAGCTGGATCGGAAGTGGAGCAGCCAGGAGGGGAACCTGCACTCCAATATGGATGCCAGCATCCCAGGCAACGGGATCCCAGCCTCGGGGATTCTATCACAGCGGTGGGGACAACATCAAAGACACCGCAGTGCCTAGGCATGCCAAAGTACCCAGAAACAGTCCTCACACAAAAACCAGACTCCATTCAGGGGGCCCCAGGTCCAAGGACGAGTGACCACATCAGAAAAGAAGGGGGGCGCCGGGGCTCAGAGACGCACAGGACAGAGGCCCTGTGAAGGCAGGGGCAGAGGCTGCAGCCAGGAGACCGAAAGCCAGAGAACCCCAAGGCCGGCAGGACAGGCAGCACCGAGCTGCAGGGCACACCAGGAGGTCCCCCCAGCGAGCCTGCAGGGCCCGGCCGACGCCCTGGGCACGCACCCCGGCCGCAGGACTGGGGGGACTGGGTTTCACACAGTGTGTGTGCACCCCTTAGAGCAGCCTGCGACCCAATGTCTCGGCCCCTCCCAAGACCATGCGGCCCCTCCCAGCAAGGAGGGGCCACAGCCACAGCCAAGGGTCTGCCTTCATTTTCATTCTGTTTCCAACCAGAATCTTTACAAAACCCAAGCAAATGAATTTCTACAGAACTAAAGTGCCACTTGAGCAGGCTCAACACTCAACACCTGTCCTCTTCTCCCCAGAGAGAAGCAGCCAACACCAGGCACCAGCACGACCCAGGCCCACCTGGCTCTGAGCAGCCCGGGGGGCAAGTGTGAGGCCCAGTTGACACACAGGGTCTGAGGCCCCAGGCTGGGAGTGTGCCCTGCTCCAGGACGGAGTCAGCGCCGTGTGCTGCCCTTCCAGGATCAACTCCTGACACCTGCCCGTCGTCCATCAGCTCCCCTCCCGCCCAGCACCTCCCCAGCGGTCAGCAGCTGCTGCGGGCACTCCTGCACCCACCATCTCTCCATCCCTGCCGCACAAAACTCTTGCCTGCCGGGAGGGAACACTCCACAGCTGCTCTGCTCAGTCCAACGGCCGCCAGGACTTGAAATACGATGAGGGTGACTGGGAACAGGAGCTCCTGCTTGATCCATGTGACTGGGTCTGAATTAAAGACAGGGCAGCGGGAGCGCAGACAAGGCCCCCCGCCCCGGCAGCCTTTCTCAGCCTGCTGCTTTAGCCGCGGATTTACGCCGGTTCCCCACACCTCCCAGCCTGTCCACACGGAGAGCTGCAGGTGAGAGCCCTGGACATGTGACACTGACTTCTCTGAACAGGCCGATGGGTTACAGACGAATTCCTGCAGAAGGCACACGTCCACTGCGACCAAGACAGATCTGCTGGGGCCAGCGCTGCGGCGTAGCGGGTAAAGCTACTGCCTGTAGTACTGACATACCATATGGATGCCAGTTCAAGTCCCAGCTGCTCCACTTCTGATCCAGCTCTCTGCTGTGGCCTGAGAAAGCAGCAGAAGATGGCCCAAGTGCTTGGGCCCCTGCACCCACGTGGGAGAGCCAGAAGAAGCTCCTAGTCCTGGCTTCGGATTGACAGCTCCAGCTGTTGCAGCCAGTTAGCAAGTGAACCAGCGGATGCAAGACCTCTCTCCCTCTCTCTGCCTCCCTCTCCTTCTCTGTCTATGTAACTCTGATTTTCAAATAAAATAAGTAATTCTTAAAAAAAAAAAAAAAAATCTGCTGTCCTGTGAATCTGACCCAAGGACTCTCATCCTCTCCCACCTGACGCAGCCCCGTCCCGCTCTGGGATGCCTTGCGCCTCCACTCTGCGTGAAGGCCCTGAGCTTCTGCCGACATGAAAGGCAGCCCCCTGTTACCCCTCCAGAACAAATATAATTAATAAAAAAGAGGCCAGTCTTTCCAGACCAACCACTCCAGTCAGTGGCGTATCTCAGGAGGATTCCATCAAACAAAAACATAAAAAGAACTTCCTTTACTCAAGAAATCAAACAGAATCACTCTGCAAGTGAGGAGCTGCACACCCAGGTAGGTGATCACAGCCCCCAGAGCACGAAAAACAGGCGTCGAGCAAAACAAAAGCCTTGCTCTCAAGTGGCCACAGCAGTGGTGTCCACAGCGGCAACCCAGGTGTCCGTCAAGGAACACAGAGGTGAGCATGCGTGCTGTGTCCATTCAATGGAACAGTTCTCAGCCTCAAAAAGGACGGCGGTGCTGGCACGCGCTCCAGCGCGGGTCAACCCTGAAAACACGCCAAGCAAAAGCAGCCAGAAAAAGTCACACACTCGAGATGCCATGTGCGTGAAATGCACAGAGCAGACCACCCTGTTGAGAGAGCAAGGATGCCTGGGAGGGGATGGAGGGAGTGTACCCGAGACGCTGGGGACCCCGGGGAAAGCGCTCGGAGCCGCTGACTGTTCACGGGAAGCTGGCTGGCACGCTGGACCTCAGGTTATTTGTATTTGAGCCATAAAAATAAAATACATTAGGAGAGGAAAAACGAGAATATCGTGCTGCCGAGTGACGCTTCTCATCCGGAGGTCACAGGGCGGCCTCCGCCTGGACTCCGGCATGGCCTCCAGCGGCAGCCGGGAAACACCTGGGAAACGCTGTGTGGTCACAGACTCTGCCAATGGCACAGAGCCACCCTCTTAACCACGAGCACCAGTGTAACCGCCTGCTACGCCGGCACAGCCAAGCCTCGCCCGAAGCAAATCGCCATCCACGGCACTGCTCCAATGAAGCTAGACGTGATCCGACCCACCCAGGTCCAAATCCAGGGAAACCGGAAGCAAGAGCCATCCCCACGTCCCCAGGACTGGGCTCATGTCCCAGCCCCCAAGCCAGCTCGCCCTCTCACAGCAGTTTTCACCACGCTTCCAACTTGAATCTCAGCAAACAATTTACATCAGGGGATGTAAAACACAAACATCCAAATCAGTAACTTTAAAAAACTGAACTCCAAGATAGAGGACAGAAAGTGTATTTATTTGTTTGAAAGAGCTACAGAAAAGGAGAGACAGAGACAGAGACAGAGAGAGACAGAGAGATTCCATTTGCTGGTTCACTCCCCAGATGGTTCCAACAGCTGGGGGGCTGAGCCAGGCCAAAGCCAAGAACTAGGAGCTTCTCGCAAGTCTCCGATGTGGGTTGCAGCCCAAACACTTGGGCCATCTTCCACTGCTTTTCCCAGGCCATTAGCAGGGAAATGGATAGGAAGTGGAGCAGCTGGGACAGAAACTGGTGCCCATACAGGATACTGGTGCCAAGGGTGGCAGCTTTACCTGCAACGCCAGCCCCAACAGGAAGTTTTTATCAATATGGCCAAGACAGACAAAGAAAAACTCAGGCTTAGGGAATTAAAAATACTGTCATAGGTCAGTCTCTTCTGCAAAGGAGAAGCCTGGGGGAGGCCTAAAGACACTGGTCCAGGGCCTCGGCCACCCGACTTCCCAGACACCACTGACCCAGGGCGCCTGAGCTCTTGCCTTCCTACCCCTACCCCAGGGGCTCGGGAAGGCAGAAGCCTGGGCAGGACGGCGCCCAGCAGGCAGATCCTGGCAAAAGTTCCTCACAAGCTCTTCGATGCGGTGGCCAGACTCCTCTGCTGCCTAGAGGTCCCCGGGAGGAGGTGAAAGTGAGTGCAGGCTGCCTGGGGCAGAAGCCGGAGGAGCAGAAGGAAACACAGTGGACATGCAGGGAAAGTGAGAGCTGAGCCAGCCAGGGCGCCGGAGGGCCGCGGGCCTGCGCCAGGGATACAGAAGCCACCGGAAAGGCTCAAGAGCACACCGAGGCCAGGTGCAGACAGAAGCCCACAGCGGGACTGCGACAGACCGACCACGAGAGGAGAGGAAGGATGGGGAAACCCTGTCGAGGGGAGCCCCAGCCACCCCTGGAGGTCCCTCTTGGTTGGATCCACCCTAGTGCAGGGGGGGAAGGAGGAGGAGTCAAAGGAGCAGCACCCAAGCTTAGGACACTCAGAGCTTTGTTTCCATGGCTCACATTCGTCTTCCAGGGGCGACTCAGCAAAGAACCACTGTCTGAGCATCATAGACAATGGAGGAGCAGTCTGGGGGTCACAGACAATGGAGGAGCAGTCTGGGGGTCACAGACAATGGACAAGTACTGCCCCACTCTTCTGCTGGACAGGAGCAAGAGACCGGACTGGCTGCTCCGTGACCTTATGCTGAATGGTCCGAGTCAGGATAAAGCTCAGCCGGCTACTAAGACAGCCCAGCCCACGGGCTCTGTCTCCACCCGCTCACCTGTGGCCGCCCAAGGTGGGGCACTTCCTCGGAAAGCAACCTTCCCAACACTGGGCCTTGCCGGCTCTGGCTTTTCTAGCAGAAGTTTTGGCCTCTGTGGGAGGTGCAGGCCCGGCATTCACGGTGCCTCGAGGGTTGGGTGCCCAGAAGCATGCAACGCAGTGCAAGCATCTTGGAACAGTCAACTTGAATGCATTTGCACAGACTTCTCCCAGCACCGGGCGTCCAGCTCATTCGTGTGGGGGACGCTAACAGACATAAAACGTATCTTTCACGCTCCCTTTTCCACACACAGTTCAGACAAACCATAAGTGATCTGGGAAGTGTCGCAGAGCACAGCTGTTTTCAGATGCAGTAACAGAAATCACAGACTGACTTCAACTACAACAAGAGTTGTCCAGCCAGGACAAACTGCAAACACGTCGAAATACTAAGCATTCCCAGTGTGCACATAACATCTCGTTGTTTGACAGCTTTTGATAGCGTCCCACTGACTTCAGGACAACTTCGCAGTTTGCAATCCAGCAAGGAACAGTATTCGGATCCCAAACAACATCGTGGCTGCTACCAAAACTGACTGAAGGAAGAGAGAACGTCCATGGGAATGATGGAAATAGGGCAACGATCAATGGAAGGCACAACCGCGCACACGCCCAGTTTATAAGAGGCTCGGTGTTTGAGGACTTTGCAATGTGCCCAAACGCACGATAAGGAGAACTATGAGGCATGCGATGGCAGCTAACTGGTTATCAAGTTAAATAAGGTTTGGAATGAATTCTACAATGACACGTGAAATTGCCAACATTAGAGGAGCAAACCTGCTAGCTTTCACTCTGCATTTGTAAAGGGTGATTTACAGCAAACCAAAGAAAACTTCAAAACTAAATACGAAAGCAAGGGCAAGAAAATAATTACATTTATTGGAAAATGAAATGACATGATCATCAGAGAAAATTGCATAAATTAGCTGTGCATCTTGGAAGGCCTAGAATTTGACAAACCCAATTGTATATAAAAAACTAAAGCTGGGAGGAAGAGAGCCCTGGAGACTCTGCATTGATTTCTTTTTTTTTTTTTATTTTTTTTTTTTTATTTTTTTGACAGGCAGAGTGGACAGTGAGAGAGAGAGACAGAGAGAAAGGTCTTCCTTTGCCGTTGGTTCACCCTCCAATGGCCGCCGCGGCCGGCGCACCGCGCTGATCCGATGGCAGGAGCCAGGAGCCAGGTGCTTTTCCTGGTCTCCCATGGGGTGCAGGGCCCAAGCACCTGGGCCATCCTCCACTGCACTCCCTGGCCACAGCAGAGGGCTGGCCTGGAAGAGGGGCAACCGGGACAGAATCCGGCGCCCCGACCGGGACTAGAACCCGGTGTGCCGGCGCCGCTAGGCGGAGGATTAGCCTAGTGAGCCGCGGCGCCGGCCCTGCATTGATTTCTGAGACTTGCGTTTGGAACCAACGCATCATTTATCTTTCTAATGACCAAGTCTACCAAAATGAGTGGGGCTCTGCTTTCTATAGATGTCCCTAAATGAGGACAGTTCCTAGTTCTGCAATTCTATTTGCATTTCAGCAGTCGCCTCAGAAAGGCTGGGCTGCAGCCCACACCTCACGGAACACTGAGGCCGCAGGAGGTCTATGCGAGAACTTCCCCGGGTGCCCCTCGAGAGGCCGCCATCCGACTCCCAACACCTGCTGTGAGCTCTTGACTGACATCTGCGAGGAAGAGCACCCAGGGTTTCTCGGGGCACCCAGGACCATAATCCATCCAAAAGGCTGTGGAGACGAAGCTTCTACTCCAGATGGTCCCCATGATGTCCCCACGGCAGCCCTCTGCCCGTCCCCTGCGCCGTCCCCATGAGCACCACGGTCTGAGCCCTGCGTGGGTCTCTGTGACGCGGGCGATGGCCAGGCTCAGTGTTACCTCGCATGATGCTCCACACTCAGGGGAGGAGCTGATGGCTCCTGTGTTGCTGCAAACATCGCAAGCCCAGCTCCTGAGAACACCCACGACTCTGGCTGGTGTGGCAACCATCCAGCACACACAGCGCCCAGGGGCTCCTGCTGGGGAAAGCCTCCAGGGAGACACGAACAGACACCCACGGGTGCTCTAACTCCAGGCTGCAGAGCGGTTTCGTCTCCACCCAGCCTGACCACGCTCACGACGTTCTGGAGCCAAGCGAACGTCTCCCATCACGTCCACTTCCACCCACCCAGCTGCAGGGAAAAGCTCTGTGTGTCCAAGAGCGAAGCAACCCTAGGATGTACTTCAAACTCCACATCACAGTGAGATGACCTCGCGTTTCGGCTACCTTGAACATACACACATCATGGATCTAGTTGAAAAACACTGTCTACTTTCCATATTTTACTAACAGAACTGGGCATTCCTATCTAGCGAGCGTCCGTGGTACGTGGGTATAAATTCTGAGATATTTTCCCACTACCCCATTTCAGAGAACACTTAGCGTTAAAGCTACCGTCAGTGTCTTCAGCAGCGCCAACACCCATCTTCTGTGCGCCCTTCAAACCAGTCTGAAGTGCTTAAGATTCCGCACTCCTTGTGAGCCACGGCCAATTTCCTCTCGAGCTAAAGGCTCTCACTTATACAATATCAACTGTAGGTTTTTAATTCATCACTTAGGCACATATTCATGGTCCTTCATGATCTCTGCAACGTAGCCAATTATTCTATTTTTAAAATGACCTTTAAAAGGTTGATTTGAAATGGCATCCGATGATTGCATTAGTGCCACAGGAAAATGCCTGGGACCCTCCCTGCTCCTCCTCTATCCATTCTGCAGGTGACTGCTAAAATCAAGCCAAGCCAGTATGTGGCTCCAGCCAACGTGAAACATGTTCTAGCATTTTCTTCCTGTGTTTTAACAAACCAGTAAGGAAAACGTTATAAGGACGCTGCCCAACTTTGGAGAACTGGCCTGGGCGAAGTGAGAAGGGTTGTCCCGTGTGGGTGGGTATCTTACGGAGACCAGGCTAGCTTGCTCTCCTGGACCAGCTGGCTTCTCCAGATCGAGCTCCTGGGGCTCCCAGACCCACTCCGTCCAGCTCCAGTCTGCATTCCATGCACTGGGTCCTTCTTGCACATCCTCCGTGCTGTCCCCACCTCTCCAGATGAGACTCTGCACTGCTGTCTGCCTCCCGGGCACCTCCCAAAGCTCCTGGCCTTGACATGGAGCTGGAAACCATCTAGCAAACGAATGGATTACGCTAAAACCACCAGCAAGCTTTGCTTGTTCAAAAGTTGTAAAAGGCACAATCACCAGAGGCGAGGCTGAGGAGTAAAAAGAAAGCCATGAGTTCAAAGAAGCTGTACATCAAATACTATGTGCACCCTGGGATGATCCAGCACAGGACTGGGATAAAGTGGGAAAAGTGGAGAAAAGAAAAGAAATTTATGGGAGAACAAAGCTTTCAGAATGTAGCTCCGTTTCCTATTAAGAGACGGGGCCCCTCCTGCTGTCGGAAGGTCAAACGATCTTATTAAACGAAGCGATGGCAAGTTTTGTCACTGGCTCTCTGACAGCTAATGCAGCTCCCAGGGTCCCTTGCCCTGACCAGAACATGGAGGGGCCCCTGTTACCACGCCCCCAGCCCCACCCCCTCTCTGCACTCCAGGCTGAGAATATTGCCTGGCACATCCCGCGGCTCAGAAGTACCTGGAAGACACACGCTTTTGTTCAACAGCAATGCTTTTTTAGTATTTGCTGGCTTGTGAAAGCCTGTGCTCTGTTACACAACAAAGATTCCGCAGCCACACCAGGAAGAAGGGGGCAGAGAGGCAGCACCGTGGTGCAGGGGTGAGGCCCACGGCCTGCGATGCCAGCATCCCATATGAGCGTCAGTTCTGCTGCCGGACGTTCACTTCCCATGCAGCTCCCTAATATCAGTGCCTTGGAAAGCAGCACAAGATGGCCCAAGTACTTGGGCCCTGGCATCCACGTGGGAGTCCTGGATGAAGCTCCTGGGTCCTGGCCCAGCCCCAGCCATCCTGGCCATTTGGGGAGTGAACCTGCAGATAGAAGATCTCTCTCTCTCTCTCTCTCTCTCTTTCAAATAAATAAATCTAAAAAAGAAGAAGAAGAAGAAGATGATGATGATGATGATGAAGACAAAGGGTTCAGAGGATTCCCAGCCTCCCTTCTTCCCCCAGTCCCTCTCTAGGCGTCAGGCCCGAGGCTTCTCCATCATTGCAGAACCAAGACAGGACTAAGAATCCTGCTCTGGGTGGACAGTGGGTGACGCCTCAATTAGAGGACAGCAAGCAAGTCAGGAGTAAAAGGGCCAAGGAACTCTGGTGCACCCGACCCCAGGCCAAGGTGACCTCCGAGCCCTGAGCAGGTGCGCCAGGTCCAGTAACGTCTCCCTCCACCACTCCGAGGCCTCGGGTGGTGAGGACTCCCATCAGGCACCTTTCAACACACAGCACCCCTCGTCCCCCATCCTCTTCCTCACCTGTGCCTGGCTTGTGTGCCCCTGGTGCGGGCAACAGGTGGGCATGGGGAGACGAGGCCTCAGCAGGACACACCGTGCAGAGAACAGACTGCAACACTGAGCTCAAGGCCCTGAACACAAAACTCTCACAGAAACTCATCAGGAATGCGCGGCAGGCTCGCCTGAGGAATCGTGGAAGCTTCGCACAAAGTAGAATCAGAGTTTCTGCAGGTGCCAAAAACTCCTGAAATCCCTGTGTAGGAAGAAGACTACGATGCCTGGCTTCTAAAATCTGGGGCGCCAAGATAAACTTCTTTTTAACAAAAAAAGATTTGTCCATTTATTTTGAAACTCAGTGTTCCATAGCAGAGAGAGATCTTCCATCTGCTGGTTCACTCCCCAGACGGCCGCAACAACCAGAGCTGGGCCAGGTGGAAGCCAGGAGCCAGGAGCTTCCTCCTGGTCTCCCTTGTGGGTGCAGGGGCCCAAGCACGCGGGCTGTCCTCCACTGCTTTCCCAGGCCACAGCAGAGAGCTGGATCGCAAGCAGAGTAGCCAGGACACAAACTGACACTCACGTGGGATGCCGGGGCCGCAGGCAGTGGCTTTACCCTCTATTCCACACCACAGCCCCCAAAACAAACTACTAAGTCTGTTTTCTATGAACTTCATGCAGTGCCCTGGTCCTGAGCTGGAATAACTCAATGACACAGGACAATGCCGAGGACAACGAGTGGCATCTCAGCCTCCCACCCCAGGCTGGCAGACCCCTCCCCACCACCGCCACCCAGCTGGACAGACCCCTGCACCCACAGAGGCACTGCCGGCATTGGCGTTTCTCCTTGGAGGCCAGCCCAGCCCCCACTGCTGCCCAGGGGGTAAGGAAAGGGCCTGCATGCTGAGGTCACACTCCTGTTCTCTGCCTGCTGGACACAGAGGGTCTCTGCCTAACAGAAGTGAGGTCAGAGGAAAACACAGCGTGGAACTAGAGGCCTCTCGAACCCAAGCCCAGTGGAGAATGCACACACGAGTGACTAAAAATGCTCTGATGGCAATGGGTACCAATCCCTCGCCAACGAAGGATTAATTAACTGCAACTCCTGAGACACCAACGATTACGGGCAGGAAATCACAGGGCGATGGGTTTACGACTGAAGGTGGAAAACAGCCCTCTTCAATCGCCACATCACAGGATGGTGTTAAACAACGGGAGGTAGGAGGATTTAGATCCACGTAGATTCAGTTTTTAGTGGCAATACAGCAAAAAACGGAACATGGCAGGCATTTTTCAATCAGAGAAAGCCCTGTTACACTCACAACCAGGGTCGGCAGCACAGGAAGTTGGCCAGGACCACGCCTGGCGATGCAGATCTTGGTTAACAACCAGCAGAATTGTCTGCCGTGTGTTTTCACTCCTGTGCCTTAACATACTGAAGGGACGGAGAGAGCACCCAGCTCAAAGGCTTTAAACAGCTTCTCAAAGCTATAAGTAACTTTTAATGGGTTTTTCTTTTTCTCTTCTGTATCACAGGAATTTGCCTGGAAGATTAAGAAATCACCTTAGGAAAAAACAGAAGACAAAACTCACTAATCATCTTCCATTTAGTCGTTTATGAGTAAATAGGGAAATCATTTATAATCACATCTGCTATAAAGAATTCAAATTACTCCAGCACTCCATCTTATTATCTATCTACAGGAAGCACACCGCCTGACTCTGAGGTTCAGGCATGAGTTCACAGAGAAGGGGTTTCTCCATTCAAGGCAGCCAGGTCAGGAGCAAACACTAAGAGGGCAAGGAGAGCTGGGACCCCAGCCAGGTGCTGACTTGAGGCCGACACCGTGGCCAGGAGGCACCGCTCGGCCACTCTGGAGGCGCCCTGGAGAGGGACAGCCTAGGCGTTTGCCATTTCCTTGGATGCTAGGCAGGTGCATTTTCAGAGTGACTCTCCAACTTCCAGCTTGTTTGTTCAGTTGTGAGTCAAGCGCTGGCTCCCATGGCAAGCCAGGGACATGGTACACCAGGGACAGTTCCCCGGAGCTTGGATCTGCTGAGGAGGAAGAGGCAAAAGGCAATCACCAGCCCACCTGCTTTGAGGCTTAATAACAACACGGTCTTGTGCAGAGACGTCGCTGAAGCCCACACAGAGTCCGTGGATCAGTGAGAACCGTCCACGTGCTGACACTCACAGGGCCACTGGCCACTGCCTCTGAGGAGCCACGAATCAGCCGACAGGTGCCTGCCGGATAGAACCGTGGCTTCTCCTCAAGAGAGGGCACGCAGATGGATGGCTTTTCAGTTCTCTGAAAATAGCATTTGTTTAGCCAGACAATAGCACTAAGGGTTCAGGAATACTTCTAATAGCGAGGACATATTTAATTCATAGTGGAAGCAAAGCCTCACTTAACTGCCCTGAAGGGTGACGGGGGTCGAGAGCGAGATCACGCCCGACTCCGAGGAGGTTAGCAGTCAATGAGCAGGCGCCGGGAGGATGGGAGGCAGCGAGGCAAGTCGCAGGCTGCCTAACTCTGCCCTCGCTCACGACAAACACAAGACCAGAGCTGTCACTTTAAAAATAGTAAATTATGGAATAGCAGAGTCCAAATGCAAACATACAATGAATAAAACTGACTTAGAGCGGCCCAGCATCCAAGAGAGGCTGATGCAGCCACTGTAAACTGTGATACAGAATTGGGGGACACATTTAGGGACCCCCTCCTTTCCCAGAAAGCACGTACAGCAAGGAGAGACGGCAGGAGCCGGGGGTGCCACCAGCTCCGGATGCTGTAACATTTCCTGTAGCCCACACCACGGAGCAGCAGCAGAGAGCCCCTGAGGCGGAGTGGACATCAACTCATAATTACAATGCAATGGCAACTATCAATCAGGCCCTGCAGGGTGTGACTGGGTGGGTGTGGCAGGAAGATCAGGGAAGAGTCTGATCCATTTCCCAGACAAGGTGCTATCACTCTCAAGATTTCAAAGGAATCGAACAACACAGTTTAGCAAGCAACTGGAAAGAACTCAAGAGTTTCTGAGGGACCAGCACTGCGGTGTAGCGGGTAAAGTTGCTGCCCTCAGTGCTGGCATCCCATATGGGCGCCGGTTCGAGTCCTGGCTGCCCCACTTCACATCCAGCTCCCTGCCATGGCCTGGGAAAGCAGTAGAAGATGGCCCAAGTCCTTGGGCTCCTGCACCTGCTTGGAAGACCTGGAGGAAGCTCCTGGCTTTGGATCAGCCCAGCTCCTGCTGTTGTAGCCATTTGGGGAGTGAACCAGAGAAAGGAAGATCTCTCTCTACCCCCCCGCCCCCCGCTCTGCTTCTCCTTCTCTCTGTAACGCTGATTTTCAAATAAATAAATCTTTAAAAACAAAACCAAAAAAGAGTTTCTGAGCTGCAGGGGGAACTGGAATCTACCAGCTCTGAGCTCCTCGTTGGGAGCTAAAGGTAAGAAGGCCTGGTCTCTCCTGGAAGGGGCCACGACCACATCTCCTGGAAGCAGAAGCACCACGATGGCCGAATCCCGCTTATGTGGTGATGTTCCTGGCACGCCCTCCCCTTGCTGGCTGCAGAGGTGAGTGGCAGCACACCATGACGTTAATTATCTCGAACAAAGTGAGGTGTGCAAGAGACTTGACTCCATTCCACAGAGGGTCACCAATATGAGCCAGGGAAAAGACTTCAAGTATCACACGACTGGTGTGCTAATGCTGGGAGCCCTGAGGAGTTTAAAACCCAAAGGCACAGCCCTTCTACAGACCGACTGCGGCATCACGCACTCATGGATTGAAAAAAAAATCTGTCTCTACGCACACTTAAAAGAAATTACTTCCAAATGCAAGCGAACGATGGCTTTTGTCCTTCCAGCCTTTGCCAGGTGTTCTTTGATATTCATTAAGTAAAGCGGTGACCATTTCATTTCTAGGAAGATCGCTGAGGGTAAATTCAGAGGGACCTTGGAGCAGAGTTTAAACGGCGTCCCTCACTTTCCAGACGGAAGCAGGAGATGCGGAGGAGTAGACGGCTCGCATGTGAGGGAACCAGAGCTGCGGAGAGTAAGGGGGATGGAGGGCTGAGACCCCAGAGAGGAAGGAAGGGCAGCGTGTGGGGAGCAACTGGGAGCAACTCGGACTAGACTAAGTTACTGGAATTAAGACTTATTCTATGCATCTGCTCTCCCACAATATGGCGCTGAGAAGGGAGAAACAGCTTCTACACAGCTGCCTCCAGTTCAACCAATAAACTGTAGGACTTACTCCTGATTGGAGGAGAGCAGCGTACTCAGCGTGTGGGTAGCAGAGTTGGGATTGGTGGAGAGGACTATAAAGGAGGAGAGAGACGGCATGCACCAGGAACATCTATCTGAAGGAACACCTGTGCAGCCCCCGAGAGAGCCGGCCGGCGGTGTGCCGCTCCCCCGCGGAAGTGGGGAAAGTGGCAGGGGGAACCGCCCTTCCACGGAGGTGGAAGGGACGGTAGCTAACCCGGGAAGAACCAGCAGCAAACCCGGGGAGGGCCGAGCAGACGAAAAAACAGCACAGGGTCCTGTGTCGTTCCTCCACGAAGAGGGGGAGCGACACAGCGGAGTTCCACCAGCAAACGCACGAAAGGCAGTCTCCACCGAATACCCGGCGCTGCCCGGACGCGCCACTTCACCTGCTCTCGACGCTGGGAGTCAGTAGCTGGGGTCTCCTCCTGCACACACACCAGCTCCAGTGTTCACCGTAAATCCTCTGTCCCCTCTAGCCAGCAAGAGGCCACAGCTGGCACCAGATGAGCACGTACCACACCATGACATCAAGCGATCCAATCCACATCATCTCTGCGTACATGCTAAAAGGACACTCTTAGGCTTGTGCTGTGGGGCAGTGGGTGAAGCAGCCGTCTGCGGCACCAGCATCCCATACGGGCGCCAGTTCAAGTCCCGGCTGCCCCAGGTCCAATCCAGCTCCCTGTTAATATGTTAGGAAGACAGCAGAGGATGGCACAAGTGCTTGGGCTCCTGTTCCCATGTGGGAGACCCACATGAAGCTCCTGGGTCCTGGCTCCTGGCTTCGGACCTGCTCGGCCCTGGCCATTGCAGCCATATGGGGAGTGAACCAGCAGATGGAGGGTGTCTGTCTGTCTCTGTCTCTCTCTGTCTCTCTCTGTCTCTCTCCCTCTCTTGCTATAACTCTGACTTTCAAACAAATAACCAAGTCTTTAAAAAAATAAATAGAAGAAAAAGAAAACATAAATTTTTAAAAGTACACCCATAGTAAATGCTCAGCCTTACAAATAGTGACCCCTTCAAGCTCAAGGTCGTAAGCTGACCCAGACAAGCACTTCACGTTGCTTTGTCACTAAGAACTTAACAAGCGGTGAGCACAGGAGGTGAGCACTGGGGTGCACAGACATGTAGGTCAGCCTATGGAATCATCTTCACAGCCATTCCCATGGGGCCAGCAGCCCCTACTCACCGTGGACACGCAGGCCCCCAGCACCTGCCCGTGTCCACTGAGGGCTGCAGAGTGCAGTGAAACCACAGGCGAGGCCTTGCAGAAGTCCTGTGTGCAAAGTCCCACGTGGAAATGCCACCAGCGAGCAAGAAAGAGGGCGTACGCCGTGGTAAGATGAAAAAGGCCGTCCATCAACAGTGGACAAAGATGAGGTGAGGGCCAGGCCAGGGGAGGGCCGCGGTGGAGATGGAGCCGACTCAAGTGGCAGCTCCCTGGGGAGCAAGAGGAGGGAAAGAAAAGGACCCGCAAGAGCCCAGTGCCGCAGGCGCAGCAGCCGTGCCACCTGCACTCCTGGGGACCCTCGCCACACCGTTGGCGCAGCCTGCCTGAGACCCTGACCCCCCAGCTTCCTGCCGAGCTTCCCATCACAAACCCTGCTCTCCGGTCCTGCCTTTCTTTAAGTCTATCATTTGCCCAAGGTTTGGGTTGAGGGTTTTGGTGTTGCCTGCAGTCAGGTAGTTGTGTTACCAGCAAGATGTGGACTAGGTCTCTGTGTCTACAAGAAGGTAGCTACCCACACGGCAGGGGGCTGACACACGCTGAGGAGGGGCAGGGCAGAGAACAATGCTGGCCACGTGTGTACCACGGGCTCAAGAACACACGTGGGGCAGTGAGCGTTTGGTGCAGTGGGTAAGACCCCTTCCAGAGTACCTGGTTCAAGTCCCTGCTGCCGCAGCTGCTGTGGACACACATGCTGGAGGGCAAGGGAGAACTCACGTATCTGGACACCTGACATCCACATGGGAGTGTGAATGCGCTCCCAGCTCCTGGCCCTGTCCTGGCACAGCCCCAGCTGGGGGGGAACCAGGAGATCTTTCTTCCGCCCCCCCTCCCTTCCCTTTTCTTCCCCCTCACCTCTTCATCTCAAATAAGTCATTTTTTCTTAAAAAGAAAATGATCATAAAGGACCATAAGCGATGAGACCAGCTCGAGCAGTAATCCGAGAGGAGGATCTGCCTGTGTTGTTTCACAGTGCTTTACAGTTCAGTGTTTCTGTCTTTGAGAAGCAATCAAAATGAAGAAATGGAAATTTCACCTAAACATAGGCCTCCTGCAGTCTTCACTGTGTAAGACTGTGATAGACAAAGCTGTAACAACAAAGAGCATAAAAGGGCCCAGCGCACACCCACGCTTGCTGCCACCCACAGCCTCCTGCTTCCCTGTGACTCCTGTGGGTGCAGTGAGGTGAGCAATGGACACCCACAAACTAGGTAAGCCCCAAGGGAAGGCCTGGGAATCAGACAACCTGCAGCCACTCTCGGACAGCAGAACCCGGGGTCCTGTGTCCGCCCCACGGCCCTGGAGAAAGACGCTGGGGCGGCAGCCCAGGGCAGTCAGAACAGCTCTGCGGAGGACAGGGCTGGGTCTGCATGCCCAGAATGTCCACCAGCCACGAGCCGTCAGAGGGTGCCGGGTCTGCAAACCTCAAGTGCAGTGGCATTTCTCTCCACCTTAAAATAAAATGCATCATTTAAAAGAAATGCAATGCAGGTGCCCGTGGTCCCCTAATGTCTCAGACAGAGCAACTCCGCTTTTACCCTTCATGAAAAAGCAAACGTCAAAACGGGTACTTCCTAGCATCCTATGAAAATGCCCCTTTCCAAAACCATTTAACACTCTTACTACGCTGCACCTAATCAGAGGATGAGCACGGCTGCTCTTCCTTAATCATCTGACCAGACAGAAGACAATTTATGCTATTAAAAAAAAATCAGCGCCTCTGACAATGAATCACTGTATTTAAAGGTTACACAGTCAGGAAGCAAATCTGCTTTGTTTAATAAGATACACCTTTATGGCCTTTTTTTTTTTCTTTACTACCTCCTAATTCAATGTACCGTACTGAATGTATGGGATTTCCCAAGGGAAAAATAATTCTACTTGAATTATAAAAGTGTCACATTCACAGTTCATGGAGAATAATACTGCTCATACTCTCATCAAAGCTATGCTGCCTGGCAAAGGATTCTAAATAAAGCCAGTGTAATGTACAAATTTAAAATCTGATTCGGATGATGTCATGGAAAAAGCAATGGGCTGGAGAACAGGAAATTGGGGTCTGATCCTCCCACCCACAACCCCTGTCACTCAGGATATGACTTCCCAACTGCCCGCTGCCCTTGTCCCCAGTATCAACTACTTGGGAGCCAAAGAAATCCAACTTCACATAAATTCTGTGATTTCATCAGTACCTACACAAAAGTAATTTCTTCCCTCATAATGTTCTGCAAAATAGTTTTAATGAAATTTTGTAGGTATTCAGTTGAACTATCACAGAGCTGAGGGCTGTTTCAGCTCACATACGAAATATTCCCACTTCACACCTGCCAATGCCACAGCACCAGACGACACATTTCTCAATCAAATTCTTCCTGGGCATAATATTTAAGGCCGGGTCCTCTCTCAGGTGTCAGCCCGGCGACTCCGCACGCGGGCCGAACACAAATCCCAAGTGAAAGCGCTAACTACGTTTTCCATCAGCCAGCAGACAGGTCAAAGAGCGGCAGAACCCACTTCGCTACACCCCAGGCTTGCATCGGCTGCTTCGTCCCAGGCTTGCATTGGCAGCTACGCCCCAGGCTTGCATCGGCTGGCTGCAGGGACAAGCGATGGCCAGCGCCCCCGCCAGGTCTCCCAGCTGTGCTGTCCGCTCTCTGCATTCCCTGAACTCCAGCCTCACCGTGTTTCCTTTCAGCGATGGCCCTTTCTTTCCTCAGGGGAAGCTTGGGGAGGGGTCTTCCAGAAGACTGGCGTGGCCGTGAAGAGAGAGGCAGTCACTCTCGTGTCCTCAAGGACTGGCAATAGTAAGAAAGACACGAGCTGCCCCTGGCGACTGTCTCCCTCAGGTGTAGACACTGACCACCACCATGCAACCCCGAGACACTCATGTCTGACTCCCTGGGCTCCAGCCACATCCGTCAGCCACTTCCCTCCTTTCTGAAGCAAACATCAGCTGGATTCCCAACTTAGGTAGCTGCAGGCTCACAGCAAGACCTGAAGTCTCCCAACTTCGTTCTGCAATGTTGTGCAGGCCTCTCTGGGTCTCCTCTCTACGTACAGAGTCAATGTGTCAATCAACAGAACAAAATGACTGGCTGAGATTTCACTGGGAATGCAGTGACAGAACCCATCAATTCGGGAAGAACTGGATCTTAGCAACACTGAGCCATCGCTAAACACGGGACACCAGCGTACATCTGCTTTGAGGTTCATTCAATTTGCAACAAAAACACCCTCAATGTCACAGAAACTTAAAATATGCAAAGAATTTAGAAACCACCCACAGCAAATGCACTGTAAGCCCTGGTCCATAACTGGGGTGCACATGAGGTTTGGTGTCCTGGTATCTTCACCCTGTGTAGACCTGTCTACACTAACCATAAGTCTCTCTGAAGGGCTCCAAGGACAGCTGCATTTAAGACCCCAGACGGGGGGATGCAGGACACAAGTCCATCAGGGACTCGGCTACTGAAACACGGCCTTCACTTGATTACGTCCCTGCCCATCTCTGCAGGACGCCTTCTCATGGTTATTTCTGACACCACGCTGGAGGAGCTGAGCGGGTCCAAAAGGCTCTGATGATGGCGCAGTCGCACAAACAGAAGGGATTAGGATTTCTGCGTGCTCCGCGACCCGTCAGGACCAGAGCAGCCGAGCACTGCTCCCCAGGCCATGGGGCAGTCTGGGCTCAGGATTCGTCCTCTGCTCTATTCTGGAACCAGGCATCAGCTGGAGACCAGCTCCAGATCTGCAGACACGACCAACCAACCAGGCCACAGCGCCCACCAGGCAGACACCAGACAAGCGGTGCAGTAAGACACGGGCAAGAGACAAAATAAAACGAGGCTGTCGTCCTAAAACACAGCTGGAACAGCAGGCCTCCTGAGGACAGGACACAGGATCTTTTATTATTATTATTAATTTATTTGAAAGGGAGAGTTACAGAGAGGGGAAGACAGAAAAAGAGACCTTCCATCCACTGGTGCACTCCCCAGATGGCCACAACAGCCCGTGCTGCTGGGCCAGGCTGATGCCGGGAGCCTGGAAATCCATCTGGGCCTCCCACGTGGACGGCAAGGGCCCAAGTTCTTGGGCTGTCTTCTGCTGCTTTCTCAGGCACGTTAGCAAAGAGCCGGATTGGAAACAGAGCAGCTGGGACTTGAACCATTGCCCATAAAGATGCTGGTGTTGCAGGCAGTGGCTTAACCTGCTGCGTCGCAACCCGGGACGCGGGACATTTTCTTCACCTACTTTTCCTCTGCAGCTAATTCTTGTTCAACACAAGCCATGACTCCCCTTGCAAAGGTCTCGGGGTCTGCCTGGAGGGGATGCGGGGAGGAAGCCCTGAAGGCAGCAGCTGCCCCAGCTCAGACCGCACGCCCTCCTGTGCTGGTGCTTACAGGGCCCTCCGTGCTGGGAGACCTGACCCCGTCCAGCTCGGGGTGCCCCGGCAGCAGGAGCAGCAGCGTCCCCTGGAGCCGACAGAAAGGAAACAGCCTGGGGCCCCAGACTTGGACTTGGAATCTGCAGGTTAACAAGCCGCCAGGGGATCTGCGTGTGCGTGAGGTCTGAGAGGGTCCAGTCACAAGCTCTGTGCGTGTCAAGATGACAGTGGGCACCTGGCCCAGGACCCACTTCCTCTGCAGCCCTTCCTCCACCAGGGGCCTGAGTGTCACTGGCATCTACACTGATGCCCTCAGTGACGTCTCTGGATTGCCTGTGTCCCCCAAAAGGGTACGTTCAAGTCCTAACCCCGGTACTGGGTGACTGTGACCCTGTTTAGAAACAGAATCATTCTCAGACATGACCAAATTAACATGAAATCACACATGACTAGAGTCCTGGGCAGAAGAGAGAGAACAACACAGGCAGGTGAGGGTGGAGCCCCAGCCCGGGATGTCGTGTCGGCGAGTCACGGAATGCCAGAGTCTGCCAGCAACCACCAGAAACGGGGGCGGGGCTGGAAAGGGGGAGACAGCTTCCTCAGAGCAGCCAGAGGGAACAGCCCCGCTGACACCCCGGCTGCCGACCTGTGATCCCCAGAGCTAAGAGGGAAGGCGACCCCACTGTACCTGTGATCCCCAGGGCTAAGAGGAGAGGCGACCCCACTGTACCTGTGATCCCCAGGGCTAAGAGGGAAGGCGACCCCACTGTACCTGTGATCCCCAGGGCTAAGAGGCAAGGCGACCCCACTGTACCTGTGATCCCCAGGGCTAAGAGGCAAGGCGACCCCACTGTACCTGTGATCCCCAGGGCTAAGAGGCAAGGCGATCCCACTGTACCTGTGATCCCCAGGGATAAGAGGCAAGGCGACCCCACTGTACCTGTGATCCCCAGGGCTAAGAGGCAAGGCGACCCCACTGTACCTGTGATCCCCAGGGATAAGAGGCAAGGCGACCCCACTGTACCTGTGATCCCCAGGGATAAGAGGCAAGGCGACCCCACTGTACCTGTGATCCCCAGGGATAAGAGGCAAGGCGACCCCACTGTACCTGTGATCCCCAGGGATAAGAGGAGAGGTGACCCCGCTGTCTGAAGCTGCCCCATCCACGGTGTTTTGTACAGGGTCCCAGGAGACTGATGGGACTAACGAGCTTGGCTGGTCCCAGTCCCTGCTGGACCCTGGGAGCTCCCTCTCCAGCAGTCTCCAAAGGTCTGGCCTGTTGCTGATTCTCAACCAAGTGGAGCTGTTCCTGTCACGGCCGGCTTCGCCTGAGCCGCCGGCTGGCTGGGGCAGCAGTCTGTCCCCATGTGGGGAACTTGACCTGGACGGTCCCCAGGCAAACCATCACTTCCCTGTCCATGCAGCTACAGCTCTGCCTCGTGTCCGTGGCATCTCTACTGACAGTCAGACCCGTCCCCCACTCAGAATACACAAAGCAGGGATGTTACACTGCTTTTGCTCGTGTCACTCTATCTGGTTCCTAACGCCCCCGTTTCTTTATGCTGCCTGCTGTCCATGATGGTTCTGGTATCTCATGGCCTGCTGTGCCCCAGGCCCAGAGCTCCGTTCTCATTACCTATTACGGCAACAACCCCAAGCCTAGAGAAGCAAAGGCTGCACCCCCGGGAGGCTCCTGAGAGGGGGGAAATGGACCCCAGGATAGACCATGGCCGCTGAACTCCGACCCCTCGGGGTGCAGAATGAAGTAGAGCCACAGAGCCAGGGCACTAGTGGAAAACCAAGGCCAGACAGTGGCACTGAATGCCAGCCGCCCAGGCGCAGGTGCAGGCTCATCCCTGGTGGGGAGGGGCAGTGAGCCCAGATCATGACGCCACTGGGAAATCGGATGGAACGCGGTCTTTGAGGGTCAGCCAAGCAGAGCCGTTAAAGCAGTGCTGTGGGAATGACGACCACCTGAGCGCTCTCACATGCAAGACTGCATGAATACGGTACAGCAGAGCCAAGAGGTCCCAGGCAACCCTGGAAACCATCAGCGGGGCTGCTCCTGTGGGGCAATGGGTAAAGCTGATGGCTACGACGCCAGCATCCCAAATAAGCGCCCGTTCGTGTCCCAACTGCTCCACTTCTGATCCAGTTCCCTGCTAATGGCCAGGGAAAAGCAGTGGAAGATGTTCCAAAGGTCTGGGCCCCTGCCACCCATGTGGGAGACCCAGATGAAGCTCCTGGCTTCAGCCTGGCCCAGGGGTGGCCACCGCAGCCAACTGGGAAGTGAACCAACAGATGGAAGATGTCTCTCTCTCTCCCCTTAGTCTCTTCCTCTCTCTAATTCTGCCTTTCAAATAAATAAATAAATCTTTTAAAAAACATATTGATAAATATAGACAAAACGGGAAGTTGTCAAAGTGTGTGTGTGTCCACACAGGAAAATCTATCACACGTGCTGCACCTGTACGCAGGCCTCCGTGTTCCTGTTACTGTATCTGCAGATTTAACCAGCCATGTATCAAAAGCACGTGTGTTCAAAGACTGTCCCTGTACTGAACACACACAAACCCTTCTTGACATTATTCCGGAACATTATAGTCTAACAACTACTTACGCAGCATTTACGTCACATTGGGCATCGTAAGTCATCTAGACATGATTTAAAACACTTGGGAGGATGTGCAGGGCTCGATGCAAACTCCAAGCCATTTTATTTAGGAGATTTGAGCATGTACACATTTTGGAATCTGCAAGCAGGCTTGGAACCAATCCCTACCAGATAACCAGGGATGACCACATGTGTACACACAAGTGTATGAATATACGTAAGATGACATTAAATGAGAAAAATGCATAGAATATATAAAATCAAAATGCTGTGAGCATCGTTTCAGAGGTGGAGTGATCAATGATTCTTTTTTTTTTTTTTTTTTGACAGGCAGAGAGTTAGAGAGTGTTAGAGACAGTGAGAGAGAGAGAAAGGTTTTCTATCCATTGGTTCACCCCCCAAATGGCCGCTACGGCCAGCACACTGTGCTGATCCGAAGCCAGGAGCCAGGTGCTTCCTCCTGGTCTCCCATGTGGGTGCAGGGCCCAAGCACTTGGGCCATCCTCGACTGCCTTCCCGGGCCACAGCAGAGAGCTGGCCTGGAAGAGGAGCAACCGGGACAGGATCTGGCGCCCCAACCGGGACTAGAACCCCGGGTGCCGGCGCCGCAGGCAGAGGATTAGTCTAGTGAGCCGTGGCACTGGCCCGATTCTTATTTTCTTATTAAACTTGTTGGTATTTTCTACTTTTCTGACACAATCATGTATTACATTTCAAACTGAGGCACAAGACATAACAAGTGCCTCTTTGCTGAACGCAGCTGAGAAGATGATGTGAAGACACCATCAAGGCACCCTGGACACAGCACAGGGGCCAGTGCCAGGGCCCTGGACACAGCACAGGAAGCTGCTGTTACCACAGGGAGTCTGCTGGGCCGGCCCAAAGCCACAGAGACAAGCCAAGTTCCTCGCCCACCACGACGCCCTGTCACGTCTGATTCTCTGATGCGTCACCCCCTCAGACTCCCAGAAGGTCTTTGGAGAGGACAGAAAACTCTCCACGTGTGAGAAACAGTGCAGACCACTTTTCCTAGCTTAGGAATAAATAGACAAATGGCAGAAATTCTTCTCATATGTTAGAATCTGGGCGAAGGTATAAGGCAAGTAAATGCAGTCTATTCCAAGTCAGGATATTGCTTTTAAGGAAATTAAAATTGTACCTCTTGGAGGGCAAAACTCACCCATCAACTGTATTTACTGCGATTACAGAGCAGCTTATTCCCGACACGGCTCCCTTCTAAGACAGCCAGACGGAAATGGCACCGGGAGAGGGTGAGGATGGGAAGCCTGCTCCCCAGGGGCAGTCCCCGGAAGGCAGACAAACCCTCATGCATCTGTGTGCCAAGCTCAGCTTGCCTCCAAGGCAGGGGCCTCAAATTCAATTAATCTTCACCCCAGTCTAAGCCACACGCCGGCAGGAAAAGTTGCTGGGTGCCAGAGGCCTGGGGCTCTACAAGACAACGGAAGGAACACAGAGAAGCAGTGACAGTCTTTTCATAATAAACTGCCCAGAAGAGACAGGGGAGGGCCCTGGAGAATGCAAAGCAGAGGATTTCAAATGTGGGCAGGAAATAAATTCAGTGCTTGTCCAGGAGCAAGTTTTTTAAAGATTTATTTATCAGACCAGCATTGTGGCATAGCGGGTAAAGCCACCACAGGGGATGCCGGCATCCCATATGGGTACCATTTGAACCCTGGCTACTTCATTTCCAATCCAGCTCCCTGCTAATGCTCCAGGAAAAGCAGCAGAAGATGGTCCAAGTACTTGGGCCCTGAACCCACATGGGAAACCTCGAAGAAGCTCCTGGCTCCCGGTTTCGGTCTGGCCCAGCCCTGGCCATCGCAGCCATCTGGGAAGTAAAGCAGCAGACGGAAGATCTCACTGTCTTTCCTTCTCTCTCTCTAACTCTGCCTTTCAAATAAATAAAATAAATCTTAGAAAAAAAGACTTTAAAATTTATTTATCTATCTGAAATGCAGAGTTACAAAGACACAGACACAGACAGAGACATCTCCCATCTGCTAGTTCACTCTCCAGATGGTTGCAATGGCCAGGGCTGGGCCAGGCTGAAGCCAGTAACTAGAAGCTTCTTCCAGGTCTCCCATGTGGGTTCAGGACCCAAGCCCATAGGCCATCTTCCACTGCTTTCCCAGGCACATTAGCAGGGAGCTGGATCAGAAGTGGAGCAGCCAGGACTCAAATCAGAACCCACATGAGATGCTGGCACTGTGGGCAGTGGCTTTACCTGCTAAGCCACAGCTGCCAGCCCCAAGCAGCAATTTTTGTTGGTGAAATCTATAGTAGTCTAGAGGAGACTGGAATAGATGAGAAAATGAGAGAATGCTTCACATAGAATAAAGATATAAATTTTTCAAGAATCACTTTTCACCTGCATATGCACAATATATAAATGTGTACCCAGAGACATACGCAAACGCATACACATACATATACCCCAAGTCAGAGTCCATTTCTTACTGTGGATCATGGTTAAAGTTTCCTTCTCCAGAAAATTCTAGAATTCTCCAAGCTGGTACAACAGACAACGTCTAGGTCATGCATGGGGCCAGAGGGAAAGAAGTGAGTATAAATATCCACGTCGGTGATGACTCCGATCACAGAGGCCCAAACACCCCTATTTAGTGTCTCAACCCACGCGTGGTCAAGAAGCAGGACCACGCACTGCCAACACGGCACGGTCATCACCACGGCTTCCTGCTCCAAGAAGCCCTCCGGAGCAGTGCCACGCCTCCCCTCGACTCACGCGATGCTTGGGGCAGATTAAAGGTTTCTTCGTTGCTTTACACAGGAGACATCCACGTAGACAGAGCGCGTTATAAGGTAGGAGCCCAAAGCACCTGAGGCAGAGCCCGCGGTCCACACCGCTGGACAGCTGAGGCTGAGCCACGCGCACTCCAGAGGAGCCGGCTGAGTGTGGCTCTGGGGCGGGGCAGCCGGGCTCCACCATCACTCAGCCCCGGCCAGGATGTGTGGTCTTGGGAAGGTTAATCACGCCTCCCTGACGCAGGGGCTTCCCCGGGAAGCAAGGACAGCATGAACCTATTTAATGGGGTCTCTGTAAGGACCAGACACAAAGCTCGGCGAGCAGCAAGTGATCCATCAAACTCAGCTCCTGCCACTCCAGCAGGCACAGCCCACGCTGGCTTGGAGCATGCGTGCTCAGGGGCTTCCAAGCCTCCTGGCTGTCTGGTGGTCCCGGGGAAGGCCCTGGAATTGTGCTCTGAGAGGCCAAAGGGTAGAAGCGCCAGCTGGGCTGACGATGAAGATGTCTGAACAGTAAGCGATAGCAGAATCCATCGGCTTTCTCCCAGCAGCTGGAGAACGCGAGCCTTAGGGAGACCCTGGCTAGACGCTGGGAGACGAGGAAAGGCGGGCACAGTGAGAGCGAGCAGGGAGCAGCAGCACCTGCAGACAGAGAGACGGAGCCCAAGCCCACACCAGGCTTCATGTCGCCACTGCCCGGGAGAGATGGGGAAGGCGAGGTGACAAAGGGACCTCCCGGCTAGGCTGCTTGGAGGGACGCAGGCCACACCGGGAAGGGGCAGGACACCATCTCTGGGCAGAGCTGAGCCAGCGGACTGTGGCAACTGGCACTTTGGGGAGGGGAGGGGAGGGGAGGGGAGGGAAGGGGAAGAACGCCAACGCGGGATGCACACATCTGGTGGATTCCCCAAGCAACCAGGTCTGCCTGTGGGTAAGGGGAGGAGCGTCCTGAAGTGGGGTCGGAGAGGCCAGGGGGACGGATGGAGCAGATTAAATAGCCCTGGTGAGAGTTTGGCCACCAAATCAAACGAGCACCACTAATGCTGCAGTAATTACTAACCGAAGTCCATCTGCCCTCCATTCCCCAGGGAGAAAAATCCCAGAACTGACTCCAAACCACAAAGTGCAGGCGAGCACTGTGCTCAAGTCAGGAGGTGAGGATGGACATGAGCTGTCACAGGAGGGGAGGTGAGCATTCCTGAGGTCAGGAGGTGAGGATGGGTGTGAGCTCTCACAGGAGGGGAGGTGAGCAGTGTGCTCAGGTCAGGAGGTGAGGATGGGTGTGAGCTGTCACAGGAGGGGAGGTGAGCATTCCTGAGGTTAGGAGGTGACAGGCGTGAGCTGTCACAGGAGGGGAGGTGAGCAGGCGTGAGTTCTCACAGGAGGGGAGGTGAGCAGTGTGCTCAGGTCAGGAGGTGAGGATGGGTGTGAGCTCACAGGAGGGGAGGTGAGCAGGCATGAGCTCTCACAGGAGGGGAGGTGAGCACGCATGAGCTCTCACAGGAGGGGAGGTGAGCAGTGCAGGGAATTATAATACAACACCAAACTGTCGGCAAGGAGTGAGTGGGTCAGTGCAGCCCGACATTCCCGTCCTGTGGACGTAAGCTTTACATCACTGCATGGACACCAGTGTGTGGGCTGTGGCAAGGGCTTCCCCATGTCCGTTCCTGTATACAACTGCCCCTCGCAGGAGGCAGGCAGACACAAGCCATGCCCGCTGGCTCTTGGCTCTTACATTTCATCACGTAAGAATATATTTAGCAATTCAGAATTACTTTTGGGGTCAAAGTCTCCCATAACCTTTATCTATTTTACAGTACATACACCTGTTTTCCTAAAATGTCACTAAATGCAGTAGTAATTGTACCAAACACGTTGCAATTTTTTTTTTTTTTTTTTTGACAGGCAGAGTTAGACAGTGAGAGAGAGACAGAGAGAAAGGTCCTCCTTCCATTGGTTCATCCCCCAAATGGCCTCTACGGGCGGCGCGCTGCCCCGATCCGAAGCCAGGAGCCAGGTGCTTCCTCCTGGTCTCCCCTGCGGGTGCAGGGCCCAAGCACTTGGGCCATCCTCCACTGCACTCCCTGGCCACAGCAGAGAGCTGGCCTGGAAGAGGAGCAACCAGGACAGAATCCAGCGCCCCGACCAGGACTAGAACCCGGGATGCTGGCGCCACAGGCGGAGGATTAGCCTAGTGAGCGCGGCACCGGCCGACACTTTGGAAATTTTAACTATCACACAAAAAGGCAGCTATAGGCAACATCGAGCCACCATAATAGGGGATAAAAAAATCCTTAACACATGCACCAAGTAGCTTTCTCGACAGAGAAATCAATTTTTAGCACAAATCCATGCCAAGAGCAGTAAGGGAGGCTGAGGAATTCAGTGGCTCAAGCAGACAGCCAGAACACGCAGAGATGACCGGGAACCTGCGACCGCGTCCTGCCTCCGTGTCCTGATCTCCGGGTGGCAGCAGCCGTGACCTGTGTCTCAGCACACGTATGTCTCTGCTGCGCAGCAGGCGGGCAAGGCTTGCAAGTCCCACCCCAAATTTTAAGAATAAGGGCCATAAGGACGCCTTCTGAAATTATAGATGTAAAGAAATTAAAAGAGAAAAGGCAGAGTCAGCTACAACGAGTTTCCAAGTGCAAACTGTTGGTTAATCATCCGAAAGACTCTCATTCTCTGAAGGAATCAGTGCAGGGACGCCCTGCAAACTGACAGCTTCAGTCATAAATCAGCCCCCTGACTTCCCCAGAACTGGGGTCCGGGGTCCCGGGATGCCCCAGGGGCCCTGCCTACACTCTGCCTCCTGGGCACCCACACACCAGTGCACGTCCTGGACAAAGCCATGTCTCCTCCAAAGGCCAACAGGGCAGAGTAAGGCCTCGAGCGGGCAGAAACAAGCTGGCAGAGGCTGAACCCCGGTTCTGCAGAGGCAGGAACCTGCTCAAGGACAGGGACGCACTGCCAGGGCACCGCGGGAGGCACCACCCGTCTCAGCCTCCCAGGCGTTGGGACACCGTGACACACTAGCTGGAAATCACAATTCACACCCAACTCTATGTATTTAAATAACAAATTCATAACTCTTCATACCAGAAAGCAAAGCAACAAACCATGAAAATAGGTCACAGTACCTGGGGAAGAAGGACAAAGAACTGACCTGCACAGGGAGCGTAGTTCTGTTCCCTGTCAAGGACAGCCTCGCCCTCCACAGCAGGTCAGGCATCGCAGGTGTACATCCCCCAGCCCACGGCAGAACCCTTCAATCAAGGTGGACCGGGGCGTGGCCAGCACCCACCTCCACCCTGACCTTCATCTCAGGTTGACCAGAGCGTGGCCAGCACCCATCTCCACCCTGACCTTCATTTCAAGTTGACCTGGGCGTGGCCAGCACCCACCTTCACCCTGACGGTCATCTCTGGTTGACCTGAGTGTGGCCAGCACCCACCTCCACCCTGACGTTCATCTCTGGTTGACCTGGGTGTGGCCAGCACCCACCTCCACCCTGATCATCTCAGGTTGACCTGGGCGTGGCCAGCACCCACCTCCACCCTGACATCCACCCCAGGTCCTTCACCTTGACCTTCATCTCCAGGTTGAGCTGAGCGTGGCCTGCACCCACCTTCACCCTGATCATCTCAGGTTGACGTGGGTGTGGCCAGCACCCAACTTCACCTTGACCATCTCAACGTTGATCTGGGTGTGGCCTGCACCCACCTCCACCCTGACATCCACCCCAGGTCCTTCACCTTGACCTTCATCTCCAGGTTGAGCTGAGCGTGGCCTGCACCCACCTCCACCCTGACATCCACCCCAGGTCCTTCACCTTGACCTTCATCTC